GACCTTGTGCTCACCAGAGACAAGCTGAGATCCTCCCGAGCTCTCTCAGCAGGCCCTGGGCTGTTTGGGCCCCAGATGCTCTGCAGATCCCACCAGAATAACAGCAGAGCACGTGTGGCTTCACAGAACAGAGCAGACCCAAAAAAATAACCAACAGAAAGGGACAAAACCATGCAGAGTGTCTGGGGGCTGGGCAGTGAAGTGGATTTCTGTTATCTGTGTTTCCAGGGTGGAACAGTCCAGCAGGGACATGGGGACAGCTTATCACACCTGGGGGATGCAGGAGCTCCAGGCAGGAACTAGGTGGGCAGCAAATTCTTGTCTTTTCCATTTTCCATCTCCTCCACCAGAGCTGGAACTTGGGTTTGCACCCCAGCTGCTCTGTGGAGCAGACACGGATCACTGGCTGGGCAAGAGCTCCCAATTTTAATGCTTCCTTCCAGATTTTTTTGTGCAGTGACAGATGAGGTGCCCCCATTCCTAAAGTAACACGTGGGCAGTTTTAGGAATATTGCTTTACAAAGTGGTTCTGCAACAGAACAGTGTCATGTTTTGCTAATGTCAAAATCTGGAAAAGGGAGATAAAAGAGCAGCTTTTACCTCAGAGAAAACAAAGGCATGAGAGGTGAAGCTGTGGGGAAAAAAGTTCATGGTGATCTTCTTTTCTTCACTCCACTGAGCAACCACAGGATTCTGCGACTTTTTTCTGTCAAAAAAGATTAAAGATGGATTGGAAAGGAAAGATGGATTTCAGAGCTGCTCCTCTAGGGATGGACAATCCTGGCTTCCATAAACAAAACCATAATTTCACAGAAATGCTTGGACAATCCTGCTTGGCAGTTGTGCAATGGGAGTGAACAAATGCACAAATTCTTTATCCAAAATATCAAGACTCCTTTTCTTTATCATGGCATTTATTCTGTTTATGAGAGTATGAAAATACAAGTCTGTGAAATAGAAAAAAGCTGGTTTATTCTTACCTTAAAGTCAAACTGCATTGCAGGATGTGCTCATAGAAGAAAAGGGATTCATAGAGAGGAGACCCTTTGTAGAAATGGTTCTCTGGGAAAGAAACACAACTTCTCTATGTCCACACCATGGATTTTCTGTGTTCTTATTCCCAGGTCACTGTGTTTCAGCTCTGGGGGAGTGTTTGGAGAAATCTGGGCTGGGATTTGAATTAAACCATTTAATTTCTGCCTCATTTATGGCTTCTACTGAATCTACTCAGCTCCATTTGTTCAGGCAGGGAGATATGTAGGCTGAGCAGGCAGTAGGGAAATAATGATTAAAATAGAAATAATAGTTGGAACAGAAAAGCTTTGATGAGTCTGATAAGGGAAACATGAATTTGAAAAAAAAATAGTGTTGTATTTGAAATGGACATCCTGGACATGGAGATGGGCCCTGTTTTCATGGAATCACAAAATCGTGGAATGGTTTGGGTTGGAAGGGACCTTAAAGCTCATCCAGTGCCACCCCATTGAGTGCTCCAACCCCAGTGTCCAACCTGGCCTTGGACACTTCCAAGGATGGGAAAACCACAAGAATTTTGAATAATAAATAGATAAAATATAGGAACAGAATGGAATGGAATGGAATGGAATGGAATAGAATAGAATAGAATAGAATAGAATAGAATAGAATAGAATAGAATAGAATAGAATAGAATAGAATGGCTGAGCTGGAAGTGACCCACAAGAATCACCCAGTTCCAGCTGGAATATCTCTGAGGATTCTCTGCTCTCTCCAGGTTTATTTTGGTTCTCATCCTTCATCAGCTGATGGCTGCAACATGTTGGTTTCACTTTTCTCTAGAATGAACAGAATAGTTTATGCATAGAATTTTGAATATTTTTTAACTCTTAGAGAAAAAGAGTTCACATCACCTCCAATGATGCATTTAGATAATTAACATTCCTGAATAATTAAATACAGTGGCCAAGCTTTAGTTATTAGATGAATATTCTCTAATAATTAAGAAGTTTATTTTCCTTTAGTGTTTCTTACTTTGTGATTCAGTCATAACATTTTATTATTCATTATTTTCTCTCTTGCTTTTCACATCTATGTGTTTAACCCAGAGATCTCTTGATCCTTCCGAACTTCATTGGGTTTCTTTCTTTTACCTCTTCTTGACAGCCCAAATTTTCTCTGGGCTCACACATTTGCTTGAAAGAACCCCAGTGATATCAATAATTTCACTGCTAAGTCTAGATGCTGCATGTTGTTATTTTTTTTAAATTTTTTTTTCCAAACTTAACTGTGATTTCTCCTATTTGAATATTCAGTGTCTCCTTCTTTGTTTGCTAAACCTCTGAGTACCCCATTTTCTGCATCTTCCTCATCAGAGGGGAGAATCTTTCTCTTAAAGCTCATCCAGTGCCACCCCATTGGGTGTTCCAAGCCCCAATGTCCAACCTGGCCTTGGACACTTCCAGGGATGGGAAATCCACAAGAATTTGGAATAATAAATAGATAAAATATAGGAATAGAATAGAATAGAATAGAATAGAATAGAATAGAATAGAATAGAATAGAATAGAATAGAATAGAATAGAATAGAATAGAATAGAATAGAATAGAATAGAATAGAATAGAATAGAATAGAATAGAATAGAATAGAATAGAATAGAATAGAATAGAATAGAATAGAATAGAATAGAATAGAATAGAATAGAATAGAATAGAATAGAATAGAATAGAATAGAATAGAATAGAATAGAATAGAATAGAATAGAAGAGAATAGAAGAGAATAGAATGGCTGAGCTGGAAGTGACCCACAAGAATCACCCAGTTCCAGCTGGAATATCTCTGAGGATTCTCTGCTCTCTCCAGGTTTATTTTGGTTCTCATCCTTCATCAGCTGATGGCTGCAACATGTTGGTTTCACTTTTCTCTAGAATGAACAGAATAGTTTATGCATAGAATTTTGAATATTTTTTAACTCTTAGAGAAAAAGAGTTCACATCACCTCCAATGATGCATTTAGATAATTAACATTCCTGAATAATTAAATACAGTGGCCAAGCTTTAGTTATTAGATGAATATTCTCTAATAATTAAGAAGTTTATTTTCCTTTAGTGTTTCTTACTTTGTGATTCAGTCATAACATTTTATTATTCACTGAGCTGGGCTGGAAGTGACCCACAAGAATCACCAGCTGTGATATTTTGAGTTTTGCTTTATTCTGATGGATGTGGCAGCATCCAGCAGGATTCCAGGACTTTATTTTCCTTTCAATCAGCTTTACAATTGCAAATTTAATTGAGGTTTTTTTTTGCTTTGCTGCCCATTTCTGCTACTTTTGAGGGTACTGAGGGGTCACACTGGCAAAGTTAATACAAAACCTAATTAATTGTGGACATTAATTCACAGTGTTACACCTCCAGGTCGTTATGGGAGGGGTTTTGTGCCACCTCCCTGCTCCATCAGGGCCATCCCAGAGCACAGGGCACAGGGTTGTGCCCAGCTGTGTCCCTGCTGTGCTGGTGTTTGGTCATTGCTGTTGAATCCATGAATTCCATGGATGTTCCCAGCTTCTGGAGCCATTCCTGACTCATGGGATGAGGCTTCAGCCACAGAAAATCTCTACTGTGTGGCTTCCCCCCACCCAATGTGTAAATTTGTATTTAAAACTCCACAGTGGGTGTGCCAGCTCCTTCAACTGCCAGCTTTTCCCCATAAGGATCTAATTTTAATTAGCGAGATAAACGGGAAATTCAAATGCTCAGGAAACATTTACTTCCCCTCCTTGCTAAATCCTTTTCCTGTGGTTGTATCTTCAGACCTTTAACTAACAAAATTAAAATAGAATTAAAATAGAATAGAGAACCTGTTGGTTGTGAGGCTCAGACCCCTGGAGGGGTGAACTGGGTGATGGAGGCACAAAAATCAGGAGTAAAACTCAGCAGTTAAATCAAATTAAAGAAAGACCCCAAGCGATGGCAGCGGGTTTTGGTTAAAACCCTGTGGGGAGTTAGGACAAAGCTGAGGACCCTCCTGCTTCCCTGATTTTCCTCTTCACAGTTGTACCAAATAGGTTTTCTTTCTTGTCCTAAAATAGTTCAGCCAAACTGCAACCTTCAGTAAAAAATCCGAATTATTCAAGGTGTCTGGACCATTATTGAGAGTAATTACCATTACAGATAAAAATATTCTATATTATTCATATAATAAATACAGAATAAAGTGAATACATATATTCTATATTACTGATATTCTATCAGAATATTCCTGCCTCATAACCTTAGCAGAAAGTCTGTGTGTGCCTGGGCAATGACCCCATGAACGTTAAACCTTTCTGGAGGTCATCACTGAAGGTATTGGTTTAAAACCAATCTTCCAGGGTGGTTTTGGAAGTCAGACACTGCAGATGGAGCCCAGAAGGTCTGGGCATGAGCAGCCACGTGCACTCCAATTATTACAAACCCACTGAATTTCTTTGTTCCCCATTCTGTTGCTATTTTGGAGATCCCCTCAATTCCCCCATGCTCCAAAGAACACTTTTCCTTCCCTTCACCCATCAGGAACTGGTGTTTTGTTTGGAAACAAAAGAATTCCTTGTGAAGTGCTGGAACCCTGGTCACTGAGAATTGGAGACTTTCTGTGCTAGCAGGCACTGACCCCCAAAATCCACTACATTCAACCTAAAGCTGTAGAGAAAGCTTTCAAAATTAATAACAAAACTAAAATTATAAGTGCATAGTTTAAACAGAAGTGTGTAATATCACATGGTAAAAAACATAGAGTTTAAAGTTTTAAAATATAATAATATATATTAAAAAAATAAAAGTTTTAAAACAAAAGCTAGTCCTTCTTCTTCACCTCCTTCTTCATGACTTTAAATAATATTATGTGAACAAAAATATATATGCAAATAATATTACATTTCTGCTTCTGCCTAAAGCTGAAGCACCAACAAGGGAAGAGCAATGTTCTGGTAGGTTTGGGACCTTCAGGAATAAATCAGCAGCAAAATGTGCTTTGTGCTTTCAGAATATGAAATCGAGAGATCCTTTTTCCTGAGGATGAAGTGTGTCCTAGCCAAGAGGAATGCAGGTCTGACCTGCAGTGGCTACAAGGTAATGTTTATAAATAATGTTTATAAATTACTCCTCCACCCCTTAAGTGTTTGACAATTGACAAGGTTATTTATCTAGGTGTTTCTTTGGGGTTTTATTTTTACTTTATGCTGAGAGCAAAGTTTATGATGAGAAGAATCAGAAAAGATCCCCAAAATGCCCTCAGTAATTCAGATTTAAACTTGGTGGCACACTCCCTCCCCTTGGTCCCTGGGAATTCTCTGGAGGCCAGCCCTGGAGCTGCCAGGAGAGCACAGTTTGGTTTTATTCCCCCAGGGAACAGGAGGCAGGTGAGGCAGGAACCCAGACACAGGAATTTGGACATTTTCCACATCCCACCCAGCTGCACAAAGCACCTCCTTGGCCTCAACACTAAAAAAACTCAACCACTGCCATCACCTCAGGGTGGAATTGTACTAAACCACCAAGTCTGTTTATAAATCTTATAGTTTGTATGATGTTTTTTTATTTCTGACATGAAATCAGAAGCCACGGCAAACATTGAAGTCATAGAATAACAGCTGTCATTAGAGTAGTTTTTATTTTCATATGTGCAGGCAGATTTTATTTTCAGATTCGCAGTACTTTTTCTTTTCATCTTTACAGACAGTTTTTATTTTATCTACTGTAGATTTGCAATAGTTTTGATATTCAGACTTGCAGGTAGTTTTTTTTTTCAGCCTTATAGACAGTTTTTATTTTCAGATGTGAAAGCAGTTTTTATTTTCAGATTGGAAGTAGTTTTTATTTTCAGGTTTTCAGTACTTTTTATTTTCAGATTTCTGTAGTTTTTATTTTCACATTTGCAGTCGTTTTTATTTTCATCTTTACAGGCAAGGTTTTTTTCAGATGTGCAGTACTTTTTATTTTCAGATTTGCAGTACTTTTTATTTTCATCTTTACAGACTGTTTTAATTTTCAGATTTGCAGTAGTTTTGATTTTCAGACTTGCAGATAGTCTTGGTTTTCAGCTGTACAGACAGTTTTTATTTTCAGATATGCAGACAGATGTTATTTTCAGATGTTATTTTCAGTTTTTATTGTCAGCTTTACAGGCAGTTTTTGTTTTCAGCTGTGCATTTGCTGCTCTTTGAGCTCCAGGTTCACTCTGCTCCATCAGGGAGGGTCGTTCCCATTCATTCTGCTGGGAATTCATTTTGGGTCGTTCAAAACCCAAAAAGCAAAGCCTGGAAGAGGAGCAGAGCTCTCTGCAGGAATGTGCTCAAGGTGCAGAGTGGATCTGTGTGTTTGCACTCTTCCCTACCTGGCTGCACTGATAATTCCTCTTTACACTGAGCCCTGTTTGCTCAGCTGCTCCCCACAAAAATGGTTCTGTCCCAAAGCTGAATCTGAAATCAGGTAAAAGAGTAGAGCTTCGATCGTGGGATCTCCACGTGGCTTTGGGGGGTTTTGGGTTTTTAAATTCCCAGTTATCACTGTTAATCAGAGGCACCACTTTCTTTGGCTCACTATTAAAAGTTTGCACAGTGAAAATCAAAGGACTGTCTCGTCTGGAGAGATGTTGGCCTAAATTTATTCCATTTGACTGTGCTTAAAGTCAGGACTTATTTTTTAAGAAAGCACCTCATTAGCTGAAGCACAGAAGAAACTCACAGACCAAGTGATGGGGGAATTGAGATCTGCTGGGAGATCTTCTGACTGTGCTTTTGCTGAACATTTAAATCACTGGAGAGGAGGAAGGTTAAGCAGGAGGAGACAATTTCCAGGTGGTGTTTGGTAGTTGTTTAAAGCACAAAATACACAGAAAATTAATTCCTTTCAACAGGACAGGGTTAAAAGCCGAATAAACAGAGAAATTCAGGAAAGGGATGTGATATTTCTGCTGTTTGGACCAGAAAGTTGGCAGGGGCACTGATGATTTCTGAACACCAGCACCACACTAAATAAATCTTCTGGCCTGGAATAGTCCCCAGGTTACATTTCTCCCTCCCCTTTAGCTGACACTGAATTTTTACAGTCTAACACTGTCATTATCACCTCTGTGAACAGCAATTGTACACAGGGATCCCGAAATCTGAGCTCAGGACCTTGGGCTTGGTCACATGTCAAAAAAACCCCCACCCCTCTGAACTTGAGCAGAGAACTTAAAACTCATTTCTTGTGTATTTGCATAAACATCAGTTATTTTTTATTGCTGCTGTGATGCATCAATACTCACTGGGTTTTTTAAGTGAATTTTTTGTGAATTTTTTGATGTGCTTTTATTTACATCAGAATAATAACTCGTTAAAATATAAATGTTTTTATTTATCTTTGTGTGCGTGTAGGAAAGAGATGACATTTAAAAAAAGCAACTTCCAGGTTTTGTTGGTTTTTTTTTTTTTAATCAATGAACAGGAATTCTGGATATATCTACAAAAAATCTGTATCAAGGAGCTTAAAGTATTAATTAGAAAGCAATTAGGCAGTCCCCAGAGAGGAGGTGCTTCAATACTGGATTAATCATGCTGCCAGTCTTAATCTCTATTTACAAATTAACTGCAATTAACAGACAACCCAGAATTTAATTTTGTGGGGGAGTGTGTCTGTTGGAACCCTGAATATTGAGAGTTTTGAGCCTTCTGTGCTGCCAGGCACTGACCCCAGGAGAACACTGCACTGACCTGAGGCCCTGGAGAAGCTTCCAAAATGGAATGACAGAACTGGGATTGTGGGTGTGCAGTTTGGATAGAAGTGTGTGATATCACAGGCTGGGAAACTCAGAGTTTGAGGGATAGAATACAGTAATAGATAGAAAGCAGGATGGAAGGTTTAGGGCAGAGGCTGCTCCTTCACCTTCTCCCTGGGTTTGGGTGGTTTTGTGTAATTGGATAAAACGTCCCCATTGGGTGGTTGGTTATTGGGTTAAAAGTGAAAATAATTTAGGTGTCATTTCTTAATTGGACAGTTTATCCTTAAAAGGCCTTGTAGAGAGAGAGACAGGGCCATTTTGTAGGTTTTTACTGAAATGCTGTAGAACTCATGACTTGTAAGACTGTAACAGAGATAAGAACTAAGTTTTTACTGAAGTGCTGCAGAACTCATGACTTGTAAGACTGTAACAGAGATAAGAACTAATAAACATCTGGGTCTGAACACGAAATACCATCGCGAGCACTTTTAATCCCGACCCCGACCCAGGCAGAAAAGAAGATAAAAAAGCAATATATGTCTTTATAAGCTCATTGAGACTGGGTGGGCAGCAGATTTGGGGCTTTTCCATCAGATCCTGAGGGTGTTCTCCCCTTTTTCCAGGTGATCCACTGCAGTGGCTACTTGAAGATCCGCCAGTACATGCTGGATATGTCCCTGTACGACTCCTGTTACCAAATTGTGGGGCTGGTGGCCGTGGGGCAGTCTTTGCCTCCCAGTGCAATCACTGAGATCAAGCTGCACAGCAACATGTTTATGTTCAGAGCCAGCTTGGATTTAAAACTGATTTTCCTCGATTCCAGGTAAGCAGCTCTTTCATCTCCAGCATTGAGCGTTCATGTGTTTACGTGCTGCGGTTTCCAAAGGGGTCAAAACATCCATGAAAAAAAATCCAGCAGTCCAAACTAGATCTGGAACTCAGAGCCTTCAAAGCCTTTCAGGCAGCTGGATAGACCAAACTTTGTCTGGACTGCCAAGAAATAAGAGCCTGTCCAATTTAACCCGGAGTTACCTGCACTTTTAGGGTCAGCTAAAAGTTTCTTGCTGGGAGGATTGGTCGCAGGAACAGTGATACTTTTTTTTACCTGAAGGAACACAAATTTTATCATACAAAGCTAGCAAAAGGAATGAGGATGTACCAAATAACCCCAAAAAACCAACCCCAAAAATGGAATAGTGAGATCAAACAACTGGCTGGCATCATCCAGAAAGCTTTTGAGAGAGCAGTAAGAAAAGAGAGTTCTGTCTTTTGGTGTAATGTTTTAACCAGGAAACCAACAGTAATAATGGAGTTGTTAGAATGGGAATTGATTCCATTAGCTACTATACACAAAACCAAGACCTTCTTAAACAAAATATTGGGAAAAACAGCTGAGGAAGGAGAGCCCTGCCTCCAGTTCAGCTGATGGAGCTCAGACGAGCCAGAACCAGAACTGAAATTCATTTCTCTGGTTTTGGAGTAGATACCTTGTAGGTCACAATACTTTGTCCAGTGCAGTCCAGGAGACCTTGAAAGGAAAATCCCAAATGCACAAAATATTGACAAGATGATCATGCTTCAAAAATCCTTTCCTGTAGGTCCCACATTCCCCATTTCCCTGGCAGGCTGGATTTGCAGGGAATATATTCATGCAGTGTGAGAAAACCTCTGTACCCAAGAGAGTGGAGGTCAACCATGCAAGAAGAGGCTTTTCTGCGTGCTCAGCCCAGGAGACAGTGGCTCCATCAGCTGCTGGGACACAAAGAACTCCTTGTTTCTGGAACCCTTCCTCATTTTTTGGCACGCGTCGCTCCGTGCCGCGTCTACAAAGGAGCACGAGGGGTTCAGCAACACGTCCTTGCATGTGGGGGAAAGGAAATGATGTGCCTGGGAGGAACTGCCTGGAGACAGAAGTGTCTTCAAAGGCCACAGAACAAGCAGAGGTGTTGACAGGAGCAGGGATAGACCCAGAGCTGTTGCAGAGCTGTGTTTACCAAGGAGCAGATGGGTGTCATCCACGCACGGGACAAGCAGGGGAATTGAGCTTCCCCAAAGCCTTTTGCTCTCCCAGCTGAGCAAACCAAAGTGTATTTGCTGCAAACAGGGGGATATTAGGAGTTAGAAAAAACTGGTTTCAGGTTTGGTTCTGGTTTCCATACAAGGGGATGGATCTTGAGATGTAACAGGCACAGCAGACAGCGTGAAAGCCATGGGAAGGAGCAGCTCAAAATCCTTTTTTGGACACCTGACACAATGTAAACCACACTGGAGTTCATCCACTGAAGTCACTAGAAGGAGAAGACAGTCACTTCCCTCCAAAGTGAGCTGCTGATTTTGTGGTATATTCACTGTCAGGGAGTTTAAAAAGACTTTGAAGAACTCAGAAGACCAGAACTGATCAGTGGGGTGAGCTCTGTGTGTCCTGTCACCTGCACAGCACAACCTGGAGAGCCCAGGCTGCCTGAGGGATTGATTTGTTTAGGAAGTAAACCAGCTGACTTTGTTTCCAGATTCAACCTTTTCCAAAATTTGGGTGTCCTAGGAACTGTCAGTGATGGTTTTTGTGTCACCAGCTTCAAAGTGAGACTGCACCTCGGGGAAAATGAGCCCCTGGCTCATGTTTGGATGAGCTGTGTCTGTGCTCACCAAAGGGGCAGGATGGAGCTGCCACCCTGCTTTTAAGTGCACTGGAGTCAGAAGGAAAACTGAAACCTGAGCAGGATCTTCCACCATTATTTCCTGCTCCTGATTGGCTTCAGTGAGGATTTGGGATGAGCACACACTGCAGAGGAGGAACAGAAGCATCTATCTGAAGGCATTTTGATGTTGTTGTCCTTCAGAAGAACCCAAGCCCTCAACCCTCTCAAGCAGAACATCCTCAGTCTCTGTGGGGTCCACTGGGCTGAGTCAGGGAATGACTACAGAAGATGCACAATAGTAATAAAATTTTTAAAAACTGATAAAATGTGCATTATCATCAGTCCTACAATGACAGGAATTGCTTGGGACCCCCTGATCATTTCTGTGGATGCTCCTGTGTTGTCTCTGTGCTGTGCATCCTCACCAGTGTAAAGTTCAGACCAGGAACATCCTTTGGAAGTCCATGTCCTGAACATCCTTTGGAAGTCCATGTCCTGACCATCCCTGCTCAGTTCATGGCATGAAGAGGCTTGGGGAATTTAAACTGCATTCCTTTGATCTAAACTGGAGGACAACCTCCACGAGCACCCTAGGACACTCCAATTTTAATAAATATTTCAGTCCACAGGTCTAGGCTAGAGCTGGTCCCAGGTAAAACTCCTGCAATTAAAATGTGCAGGTGCCTCTGCTGCTGCTGCAGATCTTCAGCAGGGATAATTTCACTGTCACCTGCTAAGGGACTGTGTCACTTGTTAATGTGGACATCCCTTACTGTGCTGCCTTTTTTAGGCAAAGAAAGCCCAAGACATCACAAGGACATCACAACCTGGGTATAAAAGCCACAGTTTGGCTGAGTGGCACATTGTACTTTAAGGACTATTTTTTCCTCAACTAAATTTTTAAAAGTCCATTTGAAACATGAAGTTTGATTCCTCATGTCTGACCCAGTGTAAGTCTGACCTCTGAATTCGATCCTTTGACATCTGCAGAGATGCTGCTGTTTTGAATTCGTTCCATTCTTCTACTTCTGGGATTTTTTCTTTGGAAGTCTTGCCTCAGCTTTCCTTTCCTCACCCTGTGGTCTTCACACCTCCTTGTCTTTCCACATTCTCAGCTGCAATAAGCTCCTGCTTTTTTCTCCTGTTAGGCACCAGCCTGGATTTATTCACAGGCCCTGATCACATGTGGCCCAGCACACCTTCTACACTCGTAGCTTTGCAAAAGCAAATGAAAATGTGTCAGCAGCCCACAAGAGAGGTTTTATTGTTTCATGAGCAGCTCCTCGAGTGGAACTTTGTGCAAAGGATCCTGCATGGCAGTGGCAAAAGCCCAAGGTGGAAATCAGTAAAAGAGCTCTTTTTCCTGCCTGGGTGTACCAGGGAAAACTGCACCTTGCTTTGGCTGGGCTGAAAGGGGTTTTTTTCTTGTAAAGGTGAGGTTTCTGTTTCCAAAACTAACATTTCCTCCCACAACTTTCAGGCACTGATTTGTTGGCACAATCAAACGTTGGGTCAATGAAATGGAGTATTCCTCGAGATTTTGTTTATTGCAGATTTTTCCTTTTCCAGGGTCACGGAATTAACTGGATATGAACCCCAGGATCTGATAGAGAAAACCCTCTACCACCACGTCCACGGCTGTGACGTTTTCCACCTGCGATACGCTCACCACCTCTGTAAGTCCCTGGACTGGAGGCACAGGAGGAGCTGGAGCTGCTGCAGAGAGCCCAGAGGAGGCACCAGGATGAGCAGAGGGATGGAGCAGCTCTGCTGGCAGGAAAGGCTGGCACAGCTGGCATTGTTCACCTGCACAGGAGAAGCTTTGGGCTGAGCTCAGGGTGGCCTTGCAGGGCCTGCAGGAGCCCCAGGAAAGCTGGAGAGAGACAATTTCCAGGGCATGCAGGGACAGCACCCAGGGAATGGCTCCCAGTGCCAGAGGGCAGGGCTGGGTGGGATCTTGGGAATGAGGAATTGTTCCCTGGCAGGGTGGGCAGGGGCTGGGATGGAATTGCCAGAGCAGCTGTGGCTGCCCCTGGATCCCTGGCAGTGCCCAAGGCCAGGTTGGACACTGGGGCTTGGAGCAGCCTGGCACAGTGGAAGGTGTCCCTGCCATGGCAGGGGTGGCACTGGATGGGCTTTAAGGTCCTTCCAACCTAAACCACTCTGGGATTCTATGGAATACGTTGAGTACAGTGAGAAGTTTTGCAGACAACAAGCAGCATGCTGGAAAGCAGAAAAAAATCCTTTCCAAATCTTGACTGGAGACAGATTTTCAAAAGTTCTTGGCTATCACTTAAGGAAACCATTAATTGTGTAAATACAGCTCGATATGCTGGGCTTCTGAAAAGAAAAACCAACACCCAAACTAACTTATCTGGCCAGTTTTTATACTTAGGGGATCCAGGCTATTTTGAATATTTGGAATTGATTCTGGATGGTGATCTCTTGAAGGAAAAGTAAACCAAAAGAGCAAGTAAATGAGAGGGGAAAATCTGAACTTCACTAGCCTCTGCTGTTAAAACAAAAACTATGCAGCAGCTCTGCATTCCTCTGAAATATGTTAGTAATAATCATCCTGTGTTTGAAGGGAATGCAATCCCAAAAACTCCTTGGAGGGACATTCATTAGTAGCATGTGGATGAGGTTCGGAGAATGGATTGTCAGGAAAAAAATGACACATTTAATAATTTCCCATCTTCCAACAGAGTCACTAATCATATCTTCAAACATCTGGATCTGGGAAGGAGTTCATTCAGTAGCACATTAATTTGAAAAGCAAATTGAGGGAATGGCTGAACTCTGGATTTGGCTCTGTTTGCTGCAACCCATACGAGGCAAAGATGACATCCAAAAACCAATGTCAGGGAATTTTTTTTCCAGATTGCTCCTGTAGGCTGGAAGCAGCCAGAGTCAAATCCCTCTTTTAGGCTTCCTCCTTCTCTTAATGTGTGCTACTGATGAGCATCTGGAATACCAAGGAGGTTGTAGCTGTGTTTGGCAAGTCCAAGCTGAAATTGCAAGCGCTGAATTCTGCTGGTGGCAGGGTGTGCTACACCTGGGAAGGCAAAAGCTGATCTTTACAGCGAGTTCAGATTTACCAAAACATTATTGAACCCTCTGGGCTGCTGAGAACTGGAACAAAGAATGACCAGGGCACATGGAAAATCCTGTCACGGGCACCCTTTTTGTAGTGGTGACATCTGCATGTGGATGTGACTGTTGACCTGTTCAGAATAAACTCAGCATTTCCACCAGACTCTTTGAAATACCTTCATCCACCAGCACAGAGATGATGCCACCACAGCCACAATCACCTCTGGAAAACAGTTTTCCACTTTAGAGTAGCAGGATGGATAATTCTGTGGCTGCCAGTTTGATCCATGTACGACTGGAGCCTTAAATGAAGAGACAAATCATGTTCACTGAATTACCCACCACATCCTTCCACAAGAAAAAAAAATCCCTCAGCCAAATAGGATACTAAGAGCAGTTCTGTAGATTAAAGATAAATTACTGTACACTTTAAAAACAGAAGACAAATGCGAGCCATGCATAGGAATTTATGAAAGCAGATAAATCCCAAGAAGCACAAAATAATGAGTAATGCTTGGGCAGCAGTGGGAACAGTGCAGGGTCATGGTTGGAATACCAAGTAATGGGAATTATTAAACCAGATGTAAAGTGCACAAAGTCCCTCTGGGGAGCTGTGTGAGAGCTCCCCCAGCATCCATCAGCAAATGTCTCAGGAACATGAGCAGTGAAAGGTTGGCAGGTTTGTTGTACCATTCTATAAAGCAATCTGATGATGAAGTGTCACCTGATGCAGAAATCCAAAGAGAAACATCTTGCACCTAATAAGGGTATTAAGGGAAAAAAAAATATATAAGCAACCCTAAACTAGGATAACCATTTGCTTTTTTTAAGAGGAAAAAAATCCCAAACTGAAGCCCTGAAGCAGCTGAACTCAGAGTGAGGCAGCACAAGGAATAAAACAAAGGAAACAGTGAGGGGAACAAGTTAGGAGGGATAGAACAAGAACATCAAGCTAGGAGGGAAATGTAGATGTGAATATTTGCCTAAGGTGTGCTGGCAGCAAAGAGAGTTTCCTGCTTGAAACATTTGATTGGCTTCCAGCTCCAGGAAAACACTTGTGGTGTTTGAAGCTGTGTTATTTATTTCCAGAGCCCCTTTCATACACACAGTGTTTGCCCTGAAATGTGGCCACACAAATAAGGAGGCCCTGCCCGAGGATCCTGCACTCCAAAACACAGGACAGAGTTCCAGTACAGACAAACTACCTTTGTGCCCTCAGAGAAATCCCTTCATTTGTAGCATTTTAAGGGAGATTTTGGGCATCCCATGTGTTGCAACATCCCTGCTCTTCCCACAGGAACTTGGACAGGATTCAGGTCTCTGTGCCCAGCCCAGCTGGTGTCCCCACCAAACCCTTCTCCTGCTCCCTGGAAGTCACCCTAAGTATTTGCAGGGTTATTTCACAGAAAAGTTCAGTTCCACCATCTCTGCTGTTGGGTCTGCCTCTGCTTTGCCAACACTCAAACCTCTTGGCAGAGCAGCACCAGATTTTAAGAGGTCTAAAAAAAAAAAAAAAGAAGAGTCTGCTGGGCACTGTGCCTTGCCCAGGGACCGTGCCCATGACATGCCAGGGCAGCTAAACCAGGATCTGCTGCCAGTGTGGAACCAAGAAATCCATTTCTTGCAGTGGCATCGTCCAGTGCAGGCTGGGAACTCCCAGCCACACGCCTGGGAGCCTGGTGGAGCCTTTTAAAATAGTCCTCTCTGACAGCCCAGAGCATTTCCCAGCTTCCCTGTGAAACCAGGAGCGAGCCAGAGCCCTGGAACACCCAGTCACAGAGGGCACATCCAGAGGAGAAAGCCACTGGATCCTCCCCCTTGGGCTGCAGCAGAGGCCACCAAGAAGTCTGAGCCTGCACAGATTGTCTGGGTGGGGGATTTGCCTCACTCCCATTCCTGAGGTTTCCTTTTCAGCATCAAACAGGGCAGCTGAGCACAGAGCCAGATGGAAGCTGAGCTCACTCACTGTCTCACTTACTGTCCCTCAGCCAAGGTCAGACTTTCCCCAGATTGCTAAAAAATCAGGAGACACGGAATCCTCTCCCATCCCCAGAGAAATACTGGTTAATCCATATAATTAGGAAGGAAAGCTGAACACTGTAGCCCTCAGTGGTTTTCACATCTTTTCAAACACTGTCTTTAATGCAGAGCTAAAAGAGGGATTTTAAAAAAAAAATCAGTGAGAGAGGAGGAAAGCCAAAACTAGTCCCAAAGCACACGGAAGAACTTTGTTATAGTTAGTGATCCATGACAGCATTAATTTCTCTTCAGGAAGACTGAGTGTAGCAAAGCATTTGGAACTCAAGGAAAACGTGCTCATTAAACCAGCACAAAGACCTAGTTCTGAAAAGCCCAGACCACATTCCAAAAATTACCTGTTACATGGCCTGTGCTGAAATGTAAAGATCATTTCCTGGAACGGGACCATTTGGATTTTAGAATGAATCACCAAATCATAAAAGCACAGAATGGTTTGGGTTGGAAGGGAGCTTAAAGATCGTCTCATTCCAACCCCCTGCCATGGCAGGGACATCTTCCACTGTCCCAGTTTGCTCCAAGCTCTGTCCAACCTGGTCTTGGACACTTACAGGGATAGGGCAGCACAGCTATAGAGCACCATCCACAATTATAGAACATTAAGAAATAGTAAAACTGTGGCATAGAGATAATTATTATTTTTAGAACAGAATCTTTGAGTAGCCACTCTATGACTTTCAAGTTGCAGTGATAAATTGCACTTTAAAAAATACAAATGTCTTTATATTTTCTAGGTGTGTTCACATACTTACGTACACACACTTCATGATTTGTTAATCATGCACACCCCTCTCCCATAAAGAATTCTGTGTAAAAATGTAGGAGTGGAAGGAGCACCAGCAAGAATGAGGCAAAAAGCTGATGCCTAAGAGAGATTTGAGACCCCAGATAGTGGTGGCTTGATGTCCACCATGGAGGGTGGGTTTTTAAATGTCCTGCAGGATCATGGAATGATGGAATATCCTGAGTGGGAAAACCCACAGGGATCATCCAGTGGAACCCCTGCCCTGCCCAGACCCCCCAAAATCCCACCCTGGGCAGTGCTGGCCAAAGGTTTCTGGAGCTCTGGCAGCCTCGGGGCCGTGCCCATTCCCTGGGCAGCCTGGGCAGTGCCAGCACCCTCTGGGGGAAGAACCTTTCCTTAAAATCCAACCTAAATCCCTCCTGGCCAGCTCCATCCCTCCCTGGGTGCTGTCCCTGTCCTAGAGCAGAGATCAGAGCTGCAGAGAGTTTTAGGTGTTCATTTATTGCCTTCTGAACACATGGGCACCTCATCCTAAAACGGAAGAATTGACATTTCCAGAAAGACCTGTCAGTTTTGTAAGAGCCTGATTTTCTTTGGGAGGTAAACTGGATTTGAAGGAAAGTTTAAATATGCTGAGATGTGCAATGGATAGGAAAAGAAGCAGCCCAGAGAGGTGGCCCATGTGCTCCAGACTGTGGGAGACCTCACTGAGTCTTCCAGTACCACAAGGAAATGGAAGAAAATGAAGGAGAGGGATTTTCTATATAGGCAAAATTCACAGAATTCACAGAATTCCAGAATCCCTGGGTTGGAAGACACCTTCAAGATCATTGAGTCCAACCCAGCCCCAACAGCTCAGCTGAGCCGTGGCCCCCAGTGCCACATCCAGGCTTTGTTAAACACCCCCAGGGATGGGGACTGCACCACCTCCCCGGGCAGCCATTCCAGAACTTTATCTCCCTTGCTGGAAAAAACTTTTTCCTGATATCTAACCTATATTTCCCTTGGTGCAGCTGGAGGCTGTGTGCTCTGGTTCTGTCAGTGACAGAAAAAAAGTGACAGGACAAGAAGAAGTTTTAAAATTATAGAGAACAGGCTTAGATTCCATTTCCTAACCATATTTATAGAAAGGAATTTCTGTCATTGCCCACTTTTTTTCAACACAATTTGTGCAGCGAGCTCTGTCCATGATTCCCTGATTTGCAATAAATAACTGTATAGGAGAGTAAGAAGATGGAGTTTCCAGAGGAATGATCCAAGGCCACACAAGAGAAGAACGAGCTTCAAAGGCTGGGCATTATCTTCTAGTGAATCCTCAGATAAAGGCCTGGCACTGAACCAGAAATATTTGTGGTTGGATTAAATATTTGGAGATGCTGCACAACTCCTGTTACAGCACAGCCTCCTGCCAAAATATCCTTGTTCACAGAGGATCCAGAATAGCTCAGGGAGGATTACATGCCCGGTGAATTTATCAGATATCTGATTCCCCGCTCTGTCCTTGTCTTTGTTTGGGTGCTTCACAACTAAAGAGTTTTTTTTTTAATTTTACCCTTTTAAATCAATCTTCATGATTACAGAGGAAAAAAACCATCACGGAATAAAATACATTGCAAAATACATGATAATCTGTCAAACTATTAGAGAAGTGCTGCCAAATAATCTGGGAAAAAATCTCAAAATCACAGAATTCTCAGGGTTGGAAGAGACCTTCAGGATCAAGCAGTCCTCACCACAAACCCTGTCCCCAAGGGCCACATCCAGACTCCTCCTGAGCACTTCCAGAGACTCCAACACCTTCCTGGGCAGCTCATCCCAAGGCCTGACCACTCTTCCAGGGAAATTTTCTTTTCCAGTCTCCAACCTGAACCTCCCCTGGTGCCATTTGAGGCCATTTCCTCTCCTTCTTTTGAAAGCATTGTGTCCAGTTCAAAATACTTTTGCTGTCCTGAACTTTTCCTTTGCAGTTAGAAATTTTAAAGCAGTGTTTGTGAGGAATGCGACCGTAGGTGACCCAGAGAAGAAGGAAGACAAAACTTAGGAGACTTCACATTTTATATAAATAATAATGTGATGTTATGAATCCATAGAAAGGGGCAGGATAGATAATTTTGCAGGGGGTTATTTAAAGTTTGTTGGGAGGAAGAGGATGGAGGGTGTTAGGACATAGGTTGGACTCAGAAATCTGGAAGGTTTTTTCCAACATCATTTATTCTGTGATTCCGTGAGGGAGAAAAGCACTTGGCTTGCAAATAAACCTCTCCAGGAAGAGGTCATGGGTCCAAAAAGTGTGAATTTTTAAAACATTTTCTTTTCCTTGTGTTCACAGTGCTGGTGAAAGGCCAAGTGACCACCAAGTACTACCGGCTGCTGTCCAAGCAGGGAGGCTGGGTGTGGGTGCAGAGCTACGCCACCATCGTGCACAACAGCCGTTCGTCACGGCCTCACTGCATAGTGAGTGTCAATTATGTCCTTACGTAAGTCCAAATACTTTGTACCATTACCTGTTATCACTAATTGAGTCATTGAGGATTAAATCTGCCAAGTTTTCTTGGCTTGTGTCTTCCAGTGTCGTTCTGTGCTCGCGTGTTGCAGCTTTCTCTGTTTGCACGATCTCATCTCTTTAGTTGAGAGAAAACATGGTTGTATTAATTATTATCATTATTATATAGATCTTCATCTTGTCCAGGGAAGGCAATGGAGATGGTGAAGGGGCTGGGAAGCATCTCATGAAGGAGCTGGGGGGGCTCAGTCTGGAGAAAAGGAGGCTCAGGGGGGATCTCATTGCTCTGCACAACTCCCTGGCAGGAAGGGCAGTGAGGTGGGGTCAGGCTCTGCTGCTGTGTCCCAATGGAAAGGAGGAGAGGAAATGGCCTTCATTTTGTCAGGACAGGTTCAGATTGGAGATCAGAAGGGTTTTTTCCTTTGAAAGAGTGATGAGGCCTTGGGATGAGCTGCCATGGGGAGGAGGTGGCGTCACTCTCTCTGGAATTATTCAGGAAGAGTCTGGATGGGGCCCTTGGGGTGATGCTGGTGCTGCTGGGTGATGGTGGGACTGGATGAGCTTGAAGATCTCTTCCAAAGTTGAGTATTCTGTGATTTTTTTTTATCAAAACCAACCTTGCAGCTTGTGTGGTTTAGTTACAAGCACGTGCTGCTGACAGAGGAGGAACACTGCTCCTTTTCCTTTCCTCAGGGCAGAGACCAATTCCTGGCTGAGCAGGAGATATTAATTGATCTCTGTCTTTCCATAGTTACAAACCACAGAGAGCCAGGGATGGCTGAGGGAAGATGATACAGCTCAGGCTCAGAGAGAGGGGACACTTCATCCAAAGGTGTTTATGTGATTCCCAGTGGAGTTTTTTTATAGACTTCCATGGGAATGAGGTCACCCCATAAGATTCTCTGCCTCCTGACATCCCCAAACTCTGTGAAAATCTTGGAAGAGTGAAAATTCAAGCCTTGTGAAAGCTAACATGTATTTTTACAGGAGTTAGATTGGATTTTCCTATGGTTTTAATTTTCTGGGCTGTTCTTTTGCAGAGATATTGAGTACAAGGAACTTCAGTTGTCACTGGACCAGGTTACCATTTCCAAGTCACAGTTTTCATGCAGAAACTCAGTACCTACCTCGCAGGAAACAAGGAAAATAGTAAAACCCAAAAGTAATAAAATGAAGGCAAAACTCAGAACAACACCTTACTCGCCACAGGTAAATTTTCCAGCAATATTTAACGACCAGTTGTTCTCACTGACTGCTTGGGACAGTATAGAGATAATCCAGGACTGAATTTACTATAAAAGAGACTATAGGATTGTCCACCCCAAGAAATCCCTCATAAAGCAGGATAAAATAAGATCCTTTTTCCTTAGGGTGGAAAGTACAGGTAGCACAAACCAGCTCTGGAAAGCGATGTAAAACCTTTGGGAAATGGAGTGTGTGAAGCACTTCAAACACAACATCTTTTCTTGGCAAAAAGAAGAAAATCCTGTACTTGGAATTGTGCTGTGAAAATCTGTGCTGGTGTAGAATGTGTGTCATTTATTGTTGGTGTGTGGAGCTCTTCATGTCAGGAGGAATTTCCCCATGGAAAGGCTGCCCAGGGAGGTTTGGAGTCCCCATCCTGGGAGGGGTCACCTGGAGGTGGCACACAGTGCTCTGGGCTGGGGACAAGGTGGTCACTGGGCACAGCTTGGACTGAGTGGACTGAGAGGGCTTTTCCAACCTTAGTCCTGTGATTCTGGAAAACTGAACTGCCAAAATTATCAACTCAAAGCAGGTTTTTTGTTCCCATGTGAAGGCAAAGTCGCAAAGAGAGGAACTTCAAACGTGCTGCTCAGTCTTGAGCCAGCGAGTCCCAGCTCTGGGTGCCTGTGTGACGTGTCCTGTACTTTCCTACAGAAGTTCCTCCTTTAACTCTCTTTCCCTGCTCTTTTCCCCCTCTTTCCCCCAGCAATACAGCTCGTTCCAAGCAGACAAACTGGAATGCAGCCAGGTGGGGAGCTGGCGCTCCAGCCCCGCTGCCAGCGCCGCCGCCCTTCAGGAACAGAACTTCCATTCAGAGAGCAGCGAACTCCTGTACGCCCCTCCCTACAGCCTGCCCTTCTCCTACCACTATGGACACTTCCCTGTGGATTCCCACGTCTTCAGTGGCAAGAAGCAAATGCTGCCTGCAAAATTCGGGCAGGCCCAAGGGGCGCCCTGCGAGGTGGCACGGTTCTTCCTGGGCGCGCTGCAGACCAACGGCGAGTGCCAGTGGCACTACGCCAACTCCCTGGTTCCCAGCAGCCAGTCACCCTCCAAAAGCCTTCCTGAGCAGCCAGTGAACATCATCAGGCACAACCTTGCACAGAGTTATGAAGGTGGGTGTCGCTCTGAGCCAGGGGAAAAAGCTCGGCCGCGCGGTGGATGGGGAGGATTTGTGTTCACGGTTTGAAAACTGGTTTTGATGCCTTGGATGCCTTCCGGGCCCTCAGTTTGGGAAGGACATTGAGATGTTTGAACAAATCCAGAGGGGACAGCGAGGCTGGAGAGGGGCTGGGAACACAAACCCTGAGAGGAGCCCTGAGGGAGCTGGGGGTGCTCCCCTGGAGAAAAGGAGACTCAGGGGTGCCCTCCTCACCCTGCACAGCTCCTGAAAGGTGCCTGTGCTCAGCTGGGGCTGGGCTCTGTCTGCAGCAGCACTGCCACAGCCAGAGCTCACAGCCTGCACTGCACCAAGGGAAATACAGGCTGCAGAGCAGCAAAGAGTTTATTCCAGAAAGGGTGATAAAGTTCTGGAATGGCTGCCCGGGGAGGTGGTGCAGTCCCCATCCCTGGGGGTGTTTAACAAAGCCTGGATGTGGCACTGGGGGCCAGGGTTCAGCTGAGCTGTTGGGGCTGGGTTGGACTCGATGCTCTTGAAGGTCTCTTCCAACCCAGTGATTCTGGAATTCTGTGAATTCTGTGAGTGGCTCCCTAGAGCAGAGGCTAGACAAGGTTAAGAGAATAAGAGCAGGTATTTAATAAAGGCCTCCACAGGTACACCTTGGGCACTCCCAGAGGCCTCACCCAACCTGGACAATGGTCACCAGTGTTTCACACAATTATCACTTTGGTCCATTTACATATCAAGGGTTAATTCTCCAATTACAGCTTCAGGTAATGAAGTCATTAACCCCCCGTTTGCTTCCTCCCAATTCATTTTTGTTTCTACTTTTCAGGGCCTGAGGCTGTAGGGTGTCCTTGGGTCTCAGGCCCACTGGGATTGTTTTGTCTGAGCAAAATGTGAAGGCAGTAACTAACACTTTATCAGGAGTTTAGAGTTATGCAGTACAGGACTGGAAAAATAGAAAAGCTGAAATCCTAAGGCATCAGTTTAGGAAGCCCAGAAAATCAGAGGCAGTGAAGTGTAACAATCATTCTATTTATGGTATTCCCATGTTCCTTCTTCCCATTTCCATCAGCACTGGACTGGGAATATTATCAAAGCTTCAGCTGACAAAATGCACCCACCAAAATCACAGTGATACCTCCTCCTTCAGTACTGGCACAGTTTACCCTCATGTTTTGCACTCTCAGAGTTATTTAAGTGGAATTTCTCAGGTAAGTCACGGCTGAAGTCAGATTGAAACTTGACCTCCACAGTAATTTTTGATAATTTTAACACAGAAATTAAAATAAACACCATCTATTCCCATAAAAATTGAAGCTTGTGCTTTGACAGCCCAAAGCCACTCTGAATGTCTTTACCTTACAGAGTGATAATTCTGCTTTACTTGATAATAATTCGGAATTTAAAATTGTCTCCTATAATCTGCATTATTTCACTGCACACATGGTCAGGGATAGAAATTCTTTGAGGAAAGGCATTGACTTTTCTGAGGTGGAAACCTACAAGAAATAACCTTGAAAAATTATAACACAACCAAATGTAAAGATGCTCAAAATACCCTCTAATCACAGAATGAGGGAATAATTAGGGTTGGAAGGGAATTCTGGGGATCATCTTGTCCAACTTGTTTATTTCCACTGTGTTCAACCAGAACAGGGTTTCTTGCAGTGGTTTTGGCAGAGATTTATCTCTCATTTTAAACACTCCTGATCTCACAGCTGCCCCAACTCCAAAGTGAAACTGAATCAAGTTGTGGGGGGCAAGGAACAATGTGAATCAGCTACAGCAACAAAAATATTTGGACAAAACAGATTCTGGCAATTCAGGCTATTTTGGGATAGTGTCAAGTATCTTTAACTCAATTAATAGCATTAATTACTCCCCTGACCCAGCTTCCCCTTCAAGTCAAACACAACTGAATTTAACTGGTTTTATGAATGAGTCTTGAAGTTCTGCTGAGATTTCAGGTTGCTGCTGACTTTAGCAAGAGTTGGTTGGGCTGGATTTCCCCCCTGTTCCCTGCTTTGCTTTCAGTAACTGTGAGAATTATACAAAAACTTGTCACAAAAATATGCAAAAAAAAACCCCAAAAAAATCCAACAAAAAAAAACAACCAAAAAAAACCAACCCACCAAAAAAAACCAAAAACAAAAAAACAAAAGCCAACAAAACAACCCAAAACTCCCACCACATCTGAGTTTATTCAGATTTAGCAAACACAGGAGTTCTTTTGTGATTTAAGGTGCATCTGAAAGTGTCAGAGAACATCAAGTGCAGAATTCAGATCAGCTGCTGCAGAACTCCCAGGAAATCCTTCATTAAACTCCTTTAAGCAGAATTCCAGTTTATCACTTTCCAATCCAGAGCAAATTCTTGGATTCCATAAACGCCTCTCTGCATTCATAATTTTCATTAATTAAAAATCACTGATGAGGACTGAGGTACTGCTGTGCAGTCAGATGGAAACCCTCATTTCTTGGAATGGAGGAATCAGTAGTGGAAATTTAAAATAAAAAAAAATTAAAAAGAAATTATTTAAAATAGATTATATTAAAAAATTAAAATAAATGTAAAATAAAAAAATTTAGGTAGTCTCCAGGGTGCCATTTTAGGTAGGTTCTTGGGTATCAGAATCAAGTATTTATTCCCTTATGGGTGTAGATATCCAACATCCAAAGGGAATATTAAAATATAAAGATATTAAAATATAAATATGTTCAAAGCTGAGCTTGCTGCATCAGACAGAAGATGGAATCAGACATCAAATGTGCTTCCCACAGAGGAACAAATATTTTCTGCCTGGGTTTTTGTCCTTCACAGGATGGTTTGACCTCACCCATGATGGGCCTCACCTCACTGCCAGCAGCATTTTATTTCACTTTTCTGTGGTTAGGCTGAAAATGAGCAAGAGGGAAGCTCTTCTCACAGCCTAGAGCAGGTTAAATCCTTTTCCTTAGTTTGTGCTCTAATTTGCTGTTTCCTTTGGTTGCTCCTGTGGACTGTGGGGGAAAAGGAGGAGTTTTAGACCAAAAATAGGAAATGGTTTTGTCCTTTCTGAAGATGCAGTGGGGAAAAAAAAAAAGAAAAAAGAAAAAAGAAAAAAAAAACCAAACAAAAATAAAAAACCCCCACCACCACCAAAAACCCCAGCCCCCCAAAAAACCACCCCCCCCAAAAAACACACAAAACCAAATCAAAGCAAACAAACAAAAAAAAAACCACAAACCCACAAAACAAAAAAGAACAAAAAAAATCCCAAACAAACAAAAAGACCCCAAAACCCCCAAAAAGCCCACAAAATGCCCCCAAAAAACCTACATATTTTTATTATAAGGATAAAGACTTAAGTAAATCCTGCCTATCCCCAGTAAATCTGCAGGAACAGGGTAAAAAACCCCAAATCCCAATAAAAAACCTGCAAGGAACTGCTGCTATTTTTCAATCTCATCCCACATCACAATTCCCCGCAAGGAGGAAAATGGAGCTGAAACACCAGTGGTTCCTGTTTCTGGTTCTGCTTCCACTGAAGATTTGCTGCTGGAGTTGGGAGATGCGGGTTCTTTTTTGGGCATTTTGATGCATTTTGATGGATATTTATTATGGATATTAATTGGGGATTTGCCAAACGTTGGCTTGCTACAATTAATTCTCTGCAAAAGCACTTCGAGTCGTATAAAAAAATAAACTTTTTTTTTTTTTTAAAGGAAATACATACATATTTCCTTTGAGTTGAGGAGAAAAATATGGTCAAACTCAGACCTGGGCAAAAGGGGAAAAGAAAACAGAACTCCCCCTATAAACAGGATTTCCACCCAATTTTTCCAGCCTTGTTTCCTCCTCAAGTAGACTCAGCACTGTTGCACTTTTGCTGAATTCTGAACCTTTGGAAGCGACTTTTTTGGGTTTTTTTTTTTTGCATCTGATCTCCCTTAGGTTGTCAAGTGCTGCTTTTTTCCAGTGGCTCACTGGAGAACTGACAGCCAGGGAGCTTCAAAGCAGGGAGGATCTGCTTAGCATCATCATCTTCGATCCAAAGGCAAAGCCAAATCTGACATCTGGCAGCCGGCTTGGATGCGGGGCCATTCCACATCACATCCACGGCAGCATCTGCCAAGAGCTCCGTGGGCCAAAGACATTTTTCTCCATGGAAAATAGCTCCTTTTGGAGAGATCAGAGATTGGAGGATGATGGTGCCAAGCCATCAAAGCTCTGAAGAAGCACGTAGCAGATACGACTGCCTGCAAATCAGATGTTTCTGCTTCTGGGATCTGGTTTTGAAGCTTCTTCCACTTTTTCCCAGCTGGCCCAGTCATCATAAAAAAAATAATTTCAGTGAAGGCAACTGTGTTTTTAGTCAGAAGTTTCCTTTTTACCCTTGAAATTGCTGCTGTGGGTACCACAGGACCTGCTGGTCAGCCAGTGGTGCTGTTGGGCCTTCTGAGCTACCTGTGTGAAGCTCTGTGCCACCAGCCATGCCAAAACTCAGGAAATGAGGAAAAAGATGGAGAAAATCTGTGGAAAAAACTCCCCAGGTTTAGCCAGTGCCTACTGGAAGAAAGAAATGACATTTTGCAAAGGGAATTCCCCATGAGACAAAGAGACATTTTGTCTCACCTTTGTTTTTGGAGAGAGAATAATGGAGAGCAATCAGCCCATGCCTTGGGTGATTTGAAATTAGGGTTCAGACTAGGACAAGCACAGACTGGGATAATCTAAAAAATATCTTTTCATGGGCAGTGGTTGTATTGAGACCTGTTCTATCTCTGCCTTGTTTGATAAAAAGGAGGGAGAGGGACTTTTTATAGGGGCGGAAAGTGATAGGACAAGGGAAAATGGTTTTGAGCTGCCACAGGGCAGGGTCAGATCAGAGACTGGGAAGAAACGTTTTTTGCTCAGGGTGGTGAGACCCTGGCACTGGTGAAGCTGTGGCTGCCCCTGGATCCCTGGCAGTGCCCAAAGCCAGGTTGGACACTGGGACAGGGGAAGGTGTCCCTGCCATGGCAGGGGTGGCACTGGATGGGCTTTGAGGTCCTTCCCAACCTAAACCATTCTGGGATTCTGGGATTTACAACCTGATGGTTCATCCTCAACCCAGCAGGACTGGAGATTACAAAATTAAAGGTGTCCAGGCAGAGGCCAGCTGGTGGCTGTGATGCCTCAGCTTCTTCCAAGCTCTGTTGGGCTCTAGAAATGGAGAAGGACAATATTTTGTTGAGAGATTAAAGAAGAGCCACAAAGTGAAAATATTCCAAAGTGTAGTAGGACAAATCCATCCCTCTTGTGGACACCTTAAACCCAGAACACTTGATCATGAAACCTTATTATTTATGTCAGTAGCTCTCATCATCTACATTTGTTTCACAATAAAAACACCAAATGTGGAGTTAAAATCAGAGCACTGAACTACACCAGTGAAATTCCCAAGCTATTCTCAAGCACGTGGCTGAATCCTGGTTGGATTTGTGATCTGAAAGGGCCATTTTTCACCAGCTGGTGAGAACTCAGCTTCCTTCAGCTTCTCCTTCTTGTGACAAAATGTATACATAGAAAAGGGAAAGAATAACTTGAAAGGTTATTGTTTCTAGGAGGGTGAAGAAGAAATTGGAACCAGATTTCTGTTTAAATTCTGGTGTTAATTACGTAGTGCAACTCCCTCTGAAATTAATGGAGCTCTGCATATATATAAAAAAAAAAAAGCTACAACTGAGCTATTTCTGCTTCCTCTGTTATCCATGAAGGCTTTGCCAGTCTATTACAGCACAGGGAATATTCACTTATTAATGGGCATGGTTACATCAGCAACCAATAGAGGGGAACTCCAAAAGTTTTAAGATGTTGAATAAAATTGTTAGAAAAACAGAAAACCCATTTCAAAAAAGGCACTTAAGTGTCCAGGGCTTCCAGTGAACCTCACACAAAACAAGAGTTTGGGTCTAACATGAGAAATTTTCTCAGTGTGTCATTTTTCCTTTAACATAAAACTTTCAAATGTGCCTTGAAGGAGCTGTTTAACTCCCAAACTGTTCATAGGAGAGTGCAAAAAAAAATTATTACTCATATGGTACAGGAGAAAACCAGAGGCCTTTTCTCTCACTGCTTGTAGACAGGGGTGTACAGAAAGGAAAAGCTTCATAAGGCAAGCAGAAAATGGTAAAAATAACTCAAATTGCTTCAAGAGTTCAGTTGCCATGCAGAAACTGAGGGGAAAAAAGACTGCCTAATACATTTTAGAGGAAAAGCCTGAACAGACATCCTAGGCTCACATTGTTGAAAAATTAAGCATCTGGCTTCTAATTCTCTAAAAATACCCAATTTTTTCTCCCCCATTCAATGTTGTAACCTGCATTTTTATCATTGTCTACCCTTGATACACGGAAATATCTTAAAAGCAGAGATTCAGCATTGCTGAAGAGGTGTTTGTGTTCATTTCCAGAGATGTTTTTAATATCTGATGTCAGTTTTTCAAAGAGAAAAAGCAAAACCTTTAGCAAGACCCACTCTGGGTATCACAAAGAGATTTCATTAATTAGACAATGACACGTCACCTTCTAATATCTTATCCAGATATTAAAGGTACCCAAAAGAAATACCATTAATTACAGAATCAGCCAGAACCAACAGAACAACCAGAATCAACAGAATTCTGCAGAATGAAAAGACCTTTGAGATCATTAAGTCCAACCTCTGAGCTGGATGTTCTCCTTGCAAGGACAAGCGTCCAATGCACTCCCACAATGACAGGAAGAATAAATTCAGTTTATTTCTCGTTATTATTCTGTGATTAAAACAATTCCACTATTTTAATCACGGAATCATTGATAGGTACCAACGTTATCCAGCTTTTAGATAAACCTCTGAGAAAAGCTTCCTTCAGGGGAAAGTTTTTGGATTCAGATTGTAGTTCCTAACATTTCTTTGGCTTAATTCCCCTGACTGAGCTGTGATAAGTTCAGATAAGCTCGTGCCAGTGAGTTATAATTACTGCAAAGGCTCGTTGTCAGTAATTAACACGTTTTCCTTCCCCTGCCAGTGCCACTGTCCAACAGGAGGTACAACCAGGACGCTCTGCCCGAGGCCTTCCCGAGCTGCACGGCGCCCATGCCGGGCCGCTACAAAGAGGAGCTCTACGACTCTTCCATCATGAAACACAACAAAACAGAGCCCAGGCTCCAGCCCCCCGCCCACCTCATCAAAGAGGAAAACAAGCTGGCTTTTACCAGAGACCTGCCAGAAAAAATGGCCATCAACGAGGGCTCGTTCTCCAACCCGCTGCTGCCCAAATCCGAGTGCTGCCAGGCCAAGGCCGTGGGACAGCTGAGCCACCTGCTGCCCGTGCCCTCGGTCTACGAGCAGAGCAGGAGGATTTGTGTCAAAGACCCCAAATTTGGGCACATCAGCCACCACCCAGGCAGCCTGGAGGAGCTGGACGAGAGGATGGGCGTGAAGCTCGACCACGAGGCCGATGGCGAGCGGCTGATGGATGTGAGGCCCTCGGGCCAAGTCCCCTTCGTGCTCCTCAACTACCACCACGTGCTGGCCAAGCACGGAGCTTTCCAAACTTCCCCCTGCACGGCCACGGGACACGTGGGAGAAAATTATTCCTACAACTCTGAGGAAGTCAACGCGTTTATTTACAAAAACCAAAGCCCCTCCTCGGCTTCTTCTCCAGAAACCCACAAGGAATCTGCACTACCCCATTACATTGGGACTTCTGTCATCATTGCCAACGGCAGGTGACGGTAGCGCAGGAGTGTTCTGTGTTTCATTAAGAAACCAAACTGTAATGATTTGCTAAAAAACAAAACAAACAAAAAAAAACCAAACCAAGCATGAGGAAACACAGTGACATTTACTGAGCAAAGCTGGAGGGCAGTGAGGGACAAACTGGTGAGTTCCACAAGTCCCCGTGGCCAGGAAAATCCCCTCCGTCCCCTGCCGTGCTTCGGTGTCCCAGACACAGCTCTGGTGCCAGGGAGAAGCCAAGTTCCAGATCTTATTTTTGTTATTTTATAGTGTGCAGCAGAAGGAGACGAGAGCCGTTATATGCAGAGGTTTATATGAAGAACATTTTTTTTTTCCTTGACACCCTCCTTAAAATAAACTCAAGATTTTTTTTTTTAATCATTATCATAAAATATGCATTCTAGTTTAGGGTTTTTTTGACAAATTGTGTGAAACCTCGCATCAACTCTCCACCCAACCCCCTGACAAATGGACTTTGTTGAGAGAGTGGTGATTTTGAGCAACCACAACACAGCTGTCCTACCCAAACAGAAAAGAGCTTATTTATTAATTACCAAAAAGTTTTAAAACTAAATAAATCAACCCTACATTTGATTTATTTAACACAGATTTCAGTGTTCTGAGATTGTTGCCACCACCATTTATCTTGACAAGGGACAATATGACAAATTAATAGGTACAAAGATAGGTATTACAGGGTTACAGGTCTTGTCATGGCAAATTGGGACAAATTATGGAGCAGGAACTAATTCCCCACAAATAAGAAAAGGAAACTCCTAAATCCTGTGTTTCCCTGGGTATTCTGGGGGAAGCCTGTGCAGATTTTCAACCCAGCCAGTCACAAATACATCTTAATAACAGCACCAGAAATGTTTTCTTTATAGTCAAGAGAATAATGAACATTTCTGCCTTATTTTGAACTTACCAGCAGAATTGTGAGCTTTGAAAATTCCAGCTCTTAACACGCTGAACTTCCTCCAGCATAAATCCTGTTGTCAGCACAAAGGTAGGGCTGGAGTTCCCTGGTTGGAGCACTCCACAAATCCCAAACAGCACATTTGAAACTCTCACATTTGGCCCAGCCAGCCAGGAACAGATTTTCACCCCTTTATTTTTAATTCTTTGCAGAGGATGGATCTGTGGGAGTTTAACTGACAACGCTCAGCCCACGGTGGTTTTCAACCATCTCCCCAGACACTGTGAGTGGATAAAACAACAAAAGGCACCCTAAACAATAAATGTGGCTCTAGATCTCACTCAGCTCCATTCCTTACCCCAATTCAAGCTTAATTCAGAATTTTTCAACTTTTCTCTCATCAGACTCTAAAGAAAACTTCACTGAAAAACCTTGAGTGCCCTGGGATGGTGGAAGGTTCCCTGGATGAGCTTTAAGGTTCCTTCCAACCCAAACCATTCCATAATTCTTTGAAGAAAATTCTTACCTGGTTTACATAACATGGAAAAAACCACTTGCTCATGGATTGCACCTTGTCAGAAAAATCATAATGCAATACTCAGTCCTAAAAATTCCATGTTCTCCAACTTTTCTATGCAGCAATAATTCATCCCAGAATGGTCTGGGTTGGGAGGGACCTTAAAGCTCATTCAGCAGTTCCAAGCCCCTGAAATGGGCAGGGAATTTTCCATTAGAATACAGAAATAAGGTTATTTCCTTCTGTGTATGAATATTTATTGCTAAGAGTACACAAAAATACTTTAAAAGCAAAGGCTTGAAAACAATTATCAGTATTTTTTTTCAGTTCTTCCTGTTAAAGGTTAAAGAGAAGCCTTTATTATCATTACCAAATTAATATTCACTTGAAAATGAACTTGAACTGAACACTCTCAGTTGTTGCTTTCAATGACATGAAAAATACATTTTGTGCTAAACAGAACAAAAAAAGCCAAATCAGTGATTACAAAAAAACCCCAAAACAGAACCAAACCAGCACAGTCACTCCCTGTAACCTCAGCTTGTTCAGTGCTGGAGAAGCTGGCAAGTCTCCAGAAAAGCTGTAAATGTGGATTATAATCATGCTGACCCCATAAATCAAAGGCAGGAGACACCAGTTGCTTTCCCAGTCGGTTCAGAGCCCTCCCAGCCCCTGCTCCTCATAAACGACCCCAACTCCTGAAAAGATAATTATGGGTTCATTTTGTTCAATTAAATTAAGCCCATGCCCCACAAAGGAGCCACTGGCATGGTTGGCATCATTAAAAAGAAACCTGATGCCCAACCTCTCCTGCTGCACTTTCTCCCTCATTAGTGGCACTGCTGCATTTGGGTGTTCCTGCAAGCCCTGCTTGCTATAAAAACACCAAAATTGGCCTTTGCTTGAGAAAAACACCATTGATATTTTTCAGCTCGATGTTTTTCCACCTTGTTATTCCCACTTCCAGGCTTTATTCCAGCAGCCTGAGCAGAGGAGGTGTTCCATCATTCTCCCCCAGGTGTTTTAGGGGAGGTGATGCCCAGGCACAGGAAATTTCCCTGCGAGGCAATAATGAACCAATTAAGAACTCCCAGCTGATAATGCAGGGGAAGGTGCAGAAAAGATGGCAAAAGCAAATGTGGGAAGGATTTTTTTTTTCTGCCACTCTCCAAGATTCAAACAGCAATTCCATGTTTCCATCTGGGGGTAAATTACATTGGGAGAAAAATAGGATTTTTTGGTCAGTTAAATCACAGATGTTCTCAGCAAAATCAGAGTGCAGAACAGGGCACTGCCATCACAGTGGTAGTGTTTTAATGATGAAAAATGGGATTTTTTGGTCAGTTAAATCACATGTTCTCAGCAAAATCACAGTGCAGAACAGGGCACTGCCATCACAGTGGTAGTGTTTTAATGATGAAAAATGATTTTAATAATGAAAAAAAAAAAAGGTACTGAAGAGGAATGTGAATTGAAATATATTATGAAAAATAACCTCATTTCTCTTTAGTATTTGACCCACACCTTTGTAGTGAGACTTCACAAGATTTTAATTCTTGGGGGAGTTCAGACCTGGCAAGAAAATAATGGAAAATGGGCGAAAGAGAGTGAAAGAGGGAGTATTTTACCAAAATCATAGAAAATTTGGGTTGGTAGGGACTTTCAAGATCTTATTCCAACCCCCTGCCAGTCAGGGAATCTTCCAGCAGCCCCAGGTAAAGCTGGAAAAGTGAATTCCATAGCGAGGGGTCTCCAAGTTTTGGAAGCAGTGCAATGGAAATAAAACAAGGTGATAAAGGCACAGATAAGTCCCCAGCTCTCTGTGCCCTGGGACTTGAAAAAAGTAATTTAAGGAAATTCAGCACAACAGGTGCAAAACTGGGGAATTCATCACTGAAAGTGCCAATGAATGGGAAATCTGCCAGAATTTCTCCAGAAATCTCAAGACAGGACATAAATTCTTTTTTTTTCCCAGCGTTTCAGTCACACCTCAAAAACGCCACAGAGGAAATATTGTTATTCCAGTTTTTTCCTGAAGGTTAGATTTTGCTTTTTTTTTTTAATATGATGCAGATAAAAGCTATTTGGCAAGTGTAGGTGAAGCACGCAACCCAACCAACCTATTCAAGCTCAGAATTATATATGTATTCCCTAAAAATGTAAAGCATTTTTGCTTATTTATTATGTAAAACAAAACTGTTAAAATGTTAATAAAATCCTGTAGCCAAAGGAAAACTGAGTTGAATTTCTCTTTTTTTTTACATACAAAACAAAGTATTTCACAAAGGACAATGGTGCATACGGTGCATACTTGAAAATTTATTTCATGTGTGACATGTTCTATATTGACAATTAATGTACTATAAAACACACACAGAGTTTTAAAAATTTATTATATTATTGCTACGTTGCATTTTAAATGAAGACACTTGGAAAATGCAAATAACACAGAATCACTATTGAGATACTCAACACATGACAATTCTTCCCTGCAGTTCTTTTTTCTCCATCATTTTTTGACCTCTGCCCTTTGCTGGGCCCAGATCTAATTTCTTTGGTGTCTGATCAAGGCAGTGCATCCCCACCACCACTTAGCCACGCAAATGTTTTTATCAAACCAGTGACCCCAGGAACCAGCACAAATCTTTCCCATGACAGATATTTTGATTGTAGAGATCTCCAAAGAGTTGCAAAAAGTAAATTTTTTTTTCAGGCTGCTGATGCAGCTGAATCAGAGAAAGCAAAGAAACGAATTTTTGCACAGTGAAGCAGCAGCATAAAGAATTAAATGCTTTAATATTATTTCCAGGTAATAGCCCTTGATTTGTTGGATATATTAAAAAATAAAAAAGAAGCTCTGAAGTCTTATAAAAGCTTTACTAGAAGCAGGATGTGCTGCCTGGGCTCTGAAATGTGAAGTACATTATTACTTTTTCAAACCTTTGGAAGCAGCTTTGTTGCTGACTGGGCACGACCCACCCTGGACTCGCACACGTGCCAACACACCCAGAAGTTTTCCTATCAATAAACAACCCCCACAAATGTTTCCACCATGAGAAATGTTCTACCAGAGCCCAGCAGGAAAAAAAAATTAAAAAAAAGAAGTCCCAGTAATAGGGACATGGTAATAAATGGGTTTTTTGAAAGCACTTCATCAAGAAAATAGTTTAAGATATGAGCTCAGCCTCACAATGGAAGAGGTGTTTTACTAATCCAGACAGCTGAACGAAATGAAACATTTTCAGAGCTTTATTCCTGGGGCTGGAGCTGGCTGGATCTCTCCAGCCCCACATCCAGGGACACCCCACACCACATTTGTCTGTCACGCATGGAGAACAAGAAAAACAAGGATTTTCCTGCAAAAATGTTGTGGCCACGTTGGGCAGAGGAAGAGTCAGACTCCACCTGACAGAGACTCAGGGACTTCTCCAAGCACTTCATCCAGCTGCTCTTTGTCCCATGGGAATTCTTTTTGTCTTTGGTTTTTCCCAAGGGAAAGCCAGAAATCCTTCATCCAAATCCAGGAGACACCAGAAGAGGCCACAGAAAAGGCAAAGTGGCTCCCATGATCTGGCACATCCAGGGCTGGGCAGCTCTCCCCTGTGGCAAGGAAATTCCACTCCAAGTTTCTTCCCAGTGCAGAAATTTTGGGAATAACCTGACAATTCCCAGCGAGAACAGAATCAGCTCATCACTAAGGCAGCTACAAAAGGACCAACAGCAACCAGGAAATGTTGCAGCATTTAAAAAACGCTGAAAAATCCCTCTGCTGCTGCTCAGCCACTAAAGCTTTACAAACTCATTCTGCCCTTCCAAAATTCCCATGCTTTATCCTTTTCCCCCCCTTTTTTTTTTGTCCCCAGTGAAGGGAGAAGGAAGTTTTAAGGAAGTTTTAAGGAAGTTTTAAGGAAGCCACTCAAGTCCCAGTCCGAGGCACGACCTGGTTGTTCGATCCCTCCAGGCACTTCCCATTCTGTGTGGAACATGAACAAAACCCAAAAGGTGCTTCCTGAAGGCAAATCCTAAAGCTGAGACAGTTTTAGCTACAAATTCTGGCTTAAGGTGAAGTTTTGTAAAACTCTGTGGTTGGAAAAGCAGCACCAGAGCTCTGCTTTGCTGCAGTTTGCTCGTGAAGGAAAAGGCAGAAAATAAATAAGGATGCAGCAGGAAGATGTGAGTGTGCATGTGCACACCCGCTTTTGATAGATCTATATATAAATATTTTTTTTTCTTTTTATTGAAGCTTTTTTAAGCCAGACTTGAGTCTCAGTTGATTAAAATATGCATTAATATTGAATTCTGATATCAAAGGCAGCCGCCAAACCTTCTCAGCCCAAAGCAGTTTTGAAAGCATCTGGTGGGAAAAAGCTAAACTTGGTGCATCATTTTAATTATGGCAATTAACAGCTGTGTGTGTGCAGTTCTAGGAGATGCTGATGTGCAGCCTCATGTGATCTGGATCATGGGGGGAAAAAAAACCCAGCAGGGTTTGGACAATCAGGACAAATCTTCTGTGAGATGAAGCATAAAATCCTAAATTTAACAGGGACAATTTAATTTCTACTCTTGCTGCCAAACCACCTAAACCCTAATATGTGAGGATTGGTCAAAATTACCATTAGAGACAAGTTTCCTTGTTTTAAGACTTCTCGGCTTTGGAGCTCAAACAATCTAAAATGTTTGGATTGTTTATGAGGTGAACTTTAACCTAAAACCCCCATTTCTGGCTACAAGACAGTAGTTTCCTTTCTGCAAACCCAATGTGGCCGATCCACCATGAAAAAAAGAAATTAAAGTGGCCACATCCCAGCTGGGACAAGCCTGGCTGGCACAGAATTGTTTGGGGAGCTGTGGTGGCCAAGCCTCCTTGGGAGAAAACCCCACCAAGCTCCCACGTGGCTGCTCCAGGAGAATTCCCAGGCTGCTCCTCCCACCTGGAAATGTGCAGGCAGCCCCAAAAATGAGCTGCTTTCAGGTCAGCAGGTGTTAAAGCTCTTGCTTTTAGTGGTTAGCAGCAAAACCAGACAGTGGCTTGGAAAAGGGGGTGACAAAAGGGCTGTGGAAGAGAATTTGGACACGGGAATGGTGTGATTCCTCTTTCTCACTGCAGTAGTTGTTTGCAGCAGGGAATTTGATTTATTCCCTCGATTTATTCACTTAACTTCATTGAGGTAATGATAAAATTACCACTGAATTCTAAATTAATTGCAGGTCTCATCCCCTGAGATGGCATTCTACAATAACTTGGGTGTGACACTGCTACAGTGGGTTTTTCCTCCTGAAACCTCTTGGAAAACCGTGATTTAAAGGACAGATGAGATGATTTACTCAGATCCAACTGACTGAGGAGAGCAGAGTGCAAATCACTTGGATAACCCAGCACAGCTCCTACGTGCTGATGGAATACTCTCCCAAAAACTGAAGGCAGCCATTAAGAGTTGCAGACCTGAGATCAAAGCACAGGTTGGTAAATTATTGTAGAGGTCTACACAGAGAAGAACCAAATCAGGAGCTTCACTCAGACCTGGAATTAAGCACAGTGGTGATCCCAGCAATTCAGGAATATGTGATGTTAAAGCTGGTTTTAGTGAAGACAACACAGAAAAACAGAATTTAGTTTAAAAAAAAACAAAACAAAGTAAAAAAGTAAATATTGTCCTGCACTGTGCTAAATCACACAGAAACAACAAAAAAAGGAAATGTTGAGCCACTTCAGTCTCTCCAGTACAGGGTGTAAATGAGGAGAACATTCTGTTCACCACAAATATTCCTTTGCAAAAAGACCCCTTGCAAAGAACAGATCCTTACAAAGAATGGCAACAGAGGTGTGTTTTACAGTTAATGAAAAGAATAAAGGCCTTCAGCTGTGAGATCACCACCTCTTTTCAGCTGCTGACGTTACCCACAGCAAGCACAAAGCAGAAAATCAGCAGGAAAATCAAACTTTCAGTTACCCTTCCCACCTTGGGCAGGGTGAGGTGACAGTGCCCGGCACTAAAGAGTTCCTGTCAGTGCTTGGGGACGATGAGGTTCCTCAGCATGTCAAAGGAGTTGCCATCAGGGTGCACAGACTCCACGCCCTTGCCCTCCTGGTGCACCTGGAGGTATCCACAGTCATCAACCCCAACAATCCAGGCCAGCGGGCCGTCCTCGCTGCGGAGCCGCACCTGCTTCCCACTGAGAATGGGGGCAGAAAACAGAATTCTGTCACAACTGCCCTGGGCTGGAAATGCAGGATGTGCCTGGGGGTGTGTGTTCAATGCTCTCACTCTGGCAGTGCTGCTTTGTATTACTGCATTTTAATTTTACTTTTATTTTTTCCCTAATAAAGAACTGTTATTCCTACTCCCATATCTTTGCCTGAGAGCCTTTTAATTTCAAAATTATCATAATTTGGGGGGAGGAGGTCTACATTCTCCATTTCAAGGGAGGCTCCTGCCTTCCTTAGCAGACACCTGGCTTTTCAAACTAAGACAGCAACCCATGGACACTGAGCAATTAAAACTGATGCCTCAAGATTTCAGCTTTTCTATTTTTCAAATCCTGTACTGCATTAATGTATAACTCTAAACTCCTTATAAAGTATTTTAAATTATTCACTCATATTAAAGGGAATTTTGTGGAAAAAGACAAAATACCCACGAGTTCTTCCACCGATTTGATTAAAAGAAAGTTTGAGAACTCTTACCTGTGTACCCAGTACTTGTAGTACTGGGGAAGAACTCCATTGGGCCCCTTCTCCTGGAAAACCTCAATGAGCCTCTCCAGCACAGTCACAGTCCTTGCAATGAGGCAGTCTGCACTCAGAGCCTTCAGCTCTGTCCCCTCTTCCCTGTTCAGCTTTGCAATGAGGTCATTGATGCAGATGGTGGGGTTGCTGTTATTCACATTAAATCCAAAGCCTGCAGAAAACAAAGAGAAGGACACAATCAAAGAGACAAACTCTTTGTTGCCACCACATCCATCTGCTCCCTACAATTATCCCTCAGGATGGCTCCCAGAGCTGCCTTCATTCAGCCTCTTACACTTTTGAATCTTCTTTCTCCTGTAATTACAACCCTCAGCTCAGATTTTGCTCCTTGCCCCCAAAAAGGCTCCTCAGAGTTAGAGAGGCAAATCCAGCAGAGCCTTTCAACCACACCCATCCCACCAGTGAGGGCTGGGAGAGGATAAACTGCACCTTGGTTCCAAAACATCCCTGTGAGACATTCCTGTACTCCCTGGAAGGTCCTCAGCCCACTCAGAGAACAACTGATCCTACCCTGAGATGGAGTTTTATCTCCCAGTCTAAAACTCAGCTCAGAGACCTTTCTGTTTCCTGCAGTGAGCTGAGTGCCCTTTCCAAAAACCCAGACTTTTCACTCAGCTGATAAGCCTCGTTTGGCTTGCTCAGGAAAGCCCAGAAGATTTGATTTTAACTTTGTAAGACTCCAGTTTGCCTAATCTATCTCACCACAGCATATCCTTTAGAAGCCTCAAGCCTCTCGCTGAGATTTCTCCAGCTGGAATTCCCAAATTCTGAGTTGGCAGAATGCCTCCCTTGTTTAAATATGGCTCTTGGGGCCTTTTCTGCAGCCTGCAGAAACAGGCTTCGAGGGATGTAAAGAAGTATATTGTATTACCTGTTTATTTTTTTCTCCTAATAATTTGGGGGTTTTTTTCTTCCCTCAGACATTTGGGATAAAACCCCCTGTCTGTCAATCAGGTTTGGGCAGGATGCACCTCCAAGGAGGTGCAGATGTCTTGATTTGTAAATTTGCTGTTAATAATTCATAATTTATATTAACTTTGAAAATGATCCCTTCAGTGAAAAGGAGTTTTTGATTTTTAACAAGTCAGGGAACGCAGACAAACAAGGCACAGTGATCTCAACACACCAGTCCTGTGGAAACGAGCTGAAATGGGTTACTGGAAAGAGATAAAGGAAAATGAACTGGAAAATGTAACGAGCTGGGCCAGCAAATCCCAGCTCAGCCATCTGCACTCCAGCGTGAGGGAGCAGAGACACCGTGGCCACTGAGGGGGTCCATCAGCAGCCTCAGGATCGCTGCCCAGCCATCCAAAAAGTGGGACACAACAGCCACCCTGGCACAAGGAGCTCAGCTGAAGCCCCAACACCTGGGAGCAAACACGGCAAAGGGGAAAAGGCAGCCAGGAAATCTAAAAACCACGAGGTGCTCAGGGCTCTGGGGGCACCTCTGCAGGGTCCACGAGAGAAGAGAGCACTGAGCAGTGTCCCTGCCGTGCTGATGTGGCTGATGGATGTTGCAGTGGTGGATCCATGAGGATCTGGACGTGCCTGAGCAGAGCAGAGGAGCGCTGGCCGCTCACGCTCGCTGGCTGTCCCCTGCATTCCACTGGTGCTTGGCTCCCCCGCCTGCTCCGGGTCTGGCCCTCACATTAATGGTGAATGCTCCTCTCAGAACTCCTCCTCCAGAAGTCCCAACACCGTAAAGTTCTTCAATTTTAAATTTCAGATTGGAAAAAAAAAGTTTTTTGGTTGGTTTTTTTTTTTGCCAAACTGTGTTTAAAAATCTCAATGTGAAACATGTCACCTGCAAGGCTTGAGCAGTGAAAATGCAGGTTTGTCTTTGATCTTATTCTCCGGAGCTCCTCCTTGGAGAAGTGAAGCCACAGAGATGACCTTTGATTTCCATCATTATCCTCATTTATGGGAGATTCTTGGGAATGCCAAGGAAACAGTGAGTTCAGGGCCTGGGTGTGGCACTGAGTGCTCTGGCTGGGGACAAGCTGGGCACAGCTGGGACTCCATGGGCTGGGAGGGCTTTCCCAGCCTCAGGGATCCTGGGATTCTGTCTAGGAAAGGATCCTTTGGAAAAAGGCTGATGGATCTGACACGCCTTTCCTGTTGGGGAAGCTGAATCCCATCACTCCTACTAATCCAAAAATTTAAATGTCATGAGGCCCCTTTAGGACTCCAAGGGAAACACAGCACTGGAGTGATGGAAAGGATCCTTGGATCCATATAGAGCAACGAGGTTTCAATTTTCAAAGCTCCCAGGTGAAAAGAGACTGATGAAAATAGGCATTATCTACACCTCAGGCCAACCAGATGGATATCAGAAAGAATGGATACAGAAAGTCTCCGTTTGAATTGGAATATTTTGATGTTTAGGGTAAGAATGGAAAGGTCCAAACCAAATATGTGAAGTGCTTAAGAGATACTTGATATAAGGAACTATTTTTAGATGTATTCCTGCTTTCCTTATGTTAACCAGGCTGTAGGAAAACATGGAAGTTGTAAATGGCTGAAGGGGCACAGAGAGATTTCTTAAGTTTCTGTGCAATTTCCATTCTGTTCAAGTCGATTATTTACAAAATGAAGATATAAAATTGAACAGAAAATGTCATGTCTGGACATGTTTCACAGAAGGAGGTGACATCTTCAACTCTTTTCTTGCACCTCTAAAATCACAGAAACAACACCATGACCACTCCATCTTTGCAGGATACTTTGCTTGTGCTACATTCAAATATAATTTTTTTCTTTACCCTTTTAGACTTGCTAAGGGATTTCTTTCAATTTTCTACACACAGCAGAGACAATTGTTTTGGGACCATAATCTGGAAAGTTTCTGAGCAGATCTGGGATGCTTAGGGGAAAAACTTCCTTATCACAGAGCAGGATGATTATCAGACTAAAGATGATAAAAACATCTCAATAATTAAAAAATGAAAAAACATTACTCTGTGTATGTAGCTCTTCTTTTGATTTAAAAGGCATGTTCTTCATTTAACTATTTTTCATGTTACAAAAAATCCATAAATTGGGAAAAAAGGATGGAGTTTTCAGTATATTCCACTGGTTTTGCAATAAATCAAGGAGGACAATTTCCCTCTCCCATGTAATGCTCTTCCTTTGAACTCTACTACACCAATCCAGATGCTTGCATTTATGTTTTACTTGTCAAGCATATGGAATTATTAAGAAGGATGAAAACATTTACTTTTTGTGTTTCCTCTGGATTTCATGTTGTGCTTTATTTCCTTATGCCTGCTGTCATTATTTGTTCTCATCGTTGCCAATTTTACTGATACAGACACTGATAACAAAATCCTCCAGAAAGAAAAAAACAAAAAAACCAAAAAAAAGCAGCACAGAAAAGCTTCAAAATAAGACATTTACCAATGAGAATATGAAATGTTGTTTCAATGAGTGTTGAGTTTACCAGAACTCCACCAATCTTCATCAGATCACTGTAGTAAATATCATTTGGCCACTTCACTCGCAGCTCAATGTCCTGAAGAAAGAAAACCAGACATTTAGAGACATTCATGGCTCATTCATCACTTGACAGTCTGTAGAGAATCATGGAATGGTTTGGGTTGGGAAGGACCTCAAATCCCACCCAGTGCCTCACCTGCCATGGCAGGGACACCTTCCACTGTGCCAGGCTGCTCCAGCCCCAGTGTCCAACCTGGCCTTGGGCACTGCCAGGGATCCAGGGGCAGCCCCAGCTGCTCTGGGCACCCTGTCCCAGGGCCTGCCCACCCTGACAGAGAGGAAATTGTTCCTCATTATCCGACCTAAACCTGTAATTTTTCAGTGGGAAGCCATTCCCTGTGTGCTGTCCCTGCATGCCCTGGAAATTGTCTCTTTCCAGCTTTCCTGGGGCTCCTGCAGGCCCTGCAAGGCCACCCTGAGCTCAGCCCAAAGCTTCTCCTGTGCAGGTGAACAATGCCAGCTGTGCCAGCCTTTGCTGCCAGCAGAGCTGCTCCATCCCTCTGCTCATCCTGGAGCCTCCTCTGGGCTCTCTGCAGCAGCTCCAGCTCCTCCTGGGCTGGGACAGGGCTGGGGCAGCTCTCAGGTGGGCTCTCACCTGAGCAGAGCAGACGAGGAGAATTTTCTCTGCCTCTTTGCTACACCCAAAGTGCTGCTGTCAACTGCTCCTCATAATGAGAATCTACTGAAGTGCTTCAAAAATGCTACAGAAAATGTAACCCTGCCTGAGGAATCTTGCAGGAACTGATGTCTCAGGTTTGAGCTTTTCTATTTTTCACATTCTGAGCTGCTTTAGTGTGTGGGGCTGAGCTTCACATTATGGGATGGTGAGCTCTGTGCACAGAGCAGGGAGACAAAACAATTCCTGCTCCAGCTGGGCACCAAGGACAAATGATCCCAATCTCAGCCCAAGAGCACAAACCCCGTGGGCTGGAGAGAGAAAAACAAGCAGGATGGGACTGCAGGGGCTGCAGCTGGGGTTGGACACTGAACTGCAATGTGCACATGGAGCAGAGCTGAGCCCAGGGAGAGACCCCGGCAGCGCTCGTGCATTTTGGGGCCATTTGGGTTCATCTTGGGTGCAGCCCTGGCTGGGCTCTGGTGCTGCCCAAGGTGGATCCATGGAGGAGATCCTTTTCATAAATCCCTGCTTTATTCTTTAGCTCTGTCCAGCCTCTGCTCTGGGTCAGCCTTCACAAGGCATCAGTAGCAGCCAAAGAGACAGTGACATCCTGAATTTCAGAAAGGAAATTCAGCAGACAGGAGAAATCCCAGTTCCCAACCACATAAATAGTTCAGAAATGTCCCAAAGCTGTCCCCGCTCTCGGCAGCACTGCGGGGATGGAAACCCAAACTGAGCTGTGACAAGGTCCCAGCCCCAAAGAGCAGCTTTTGTTGAAACCACAGGGCTGAGCTGAACTTTGCACTGGCTACTTAAACACAAAAAGAAAGCAAATGTGCTTCCTGCAGTTTGAAACACTGCCCATGACTGCTGCATCCCCAGGGGCAAATTATGGGAGGTGCTCCAGGCCTACAAGAGTCGCATTCCCTCCTCTTGTAGGGGATGAAATCCCTTTACAGGATGTGTGAAAGCTGCACCTGGGTCCGTGTCTACTTTCCTGACAGATTTAAAGGCCAGGGAGGAGTCCATGACACATCCACTGACAGGAAATACTACCTGATTTTGCTATCAAAGCATTCTGAGGGAAAGTATCACCAGCTCCTATTCATTATGGGAAAGAACTTGGCTCCTCGCACTGGGGGAAGGCTTTTAGGGGACTCTGGAGACACGGGAGGAATGACACAGTGAAATGGTGCTAGCAGTGATAAAAGGGCTGCCAAAGGGGGAAACACACACCTGTAAGACACCAGACAGTAGCTCTGTGACTGAAGTGACAACAAGCAGCAGGAACAATTGAGGCAGCTGGGTGTTCTCAGGACTTTCATGACTTTGCTACGGAGTGGTTTCACCAGGTACCACACAAAACATCACAAAATACGCTGGAAATGGAGAATGTTCTTGTCTTCCCTCACTAGAGAGAGACTCTGCTGAGCTCAGAATGGGAGAGCAAAGCATCCTCTTGACATAAAGCCCATTTGCATCCTCAGCATTAACATCTGACAAGGGAACTTCCAACTGAGCCCTCAGATCTGCTCTGGGAGGACCCACAACAAAGGCCTCTGGTTCAGCAGAGTCAGTAATTGTGGCATCCTAAAAACAATGACTGGATGATAAACTGAGACAGGGGCATTTTGGAACCAGCCCAGAGGAGGCTCCAGGATGAGCAGAGGGATGGAGCAGCTCTGCTGGCAGGAAAGGCTGGCACAGCTGGCATTGTTCACCTGCACAGGAGAAGCTTTGGGCTGAGCTCAGGGTGGCCTTGCAGGGCCTGCAGGAGCCCCAGGAAAGCTGGAGAGAGACAATTTCCAGGGCATGCAGGGACAGCACACAGGGAATGGCTTCCCACTGAAAAATTCCAGGTTTAGATCAGATAATGAAGAAAAATATCCTCCCTGTGAGGGAGGCCCCTGGATCCCTGGCAGTGCCCAAGGCCAGGTTGGACACTGGGGCTGGAGCAGCCTGGCACAGTGGAAGGTGTCCCTGCCATGGCAGGGGTGGGATGATCTTTCAGATCCCTTCAAAACCCAAGCCATTCCATGATTCCATCACTCTGTAGATCATCCCATTGTTTGTGGCTGCTGCAGCTGGCACGACATGAGCATAAGGCAAAACCTTGCAGGACTTGAGTCCAAAGGGGAAATTCAAGCACTGAGTTTTTGATAATTTTTAAAAATTTCTTGCTGTAACATATTTGATTCTAAACCTTTAACTCTGTTTTGCCCCCCTGCCAAGGGCTGATGTCCCCTCAGGTTCAGCAGATCTGCCCTGGTCACAGAAATCTCTTTACTGTCCAAATGCTCAGTACAGTACACACATTATTGATCCACATTTTTTACATCACTATTTGGATCTTCAGTCACCTTTTTCCTCTTGAATGGAGTAAAATTAAAAAATGCCACAGTACATCAGGGCAGGCACACAGGAGCAAAACCAACTCCATTCATGAATCAGCTCCTTCCCCAGTTATCCCCATATTTTACAAAACAAACCCTGGTCCCTTCGTTTTTAAGTGGTCAAATTATCCACTCCAGCCAAATATTTTATATTGCAAATTTTAGCCTGAAGCATTTTGTTTTTCCAGTCAGGTTATGAAGCACTGAATTTAGAAGGTTTTAATAGAAAGGCTGACAGACCCTAAACTGCAGCAAAGCTACTGGGTGCCACTATAATAAAGTTCATGTGTAAATGTGTATAAGTCATTGATTTTCTGTAATATAGGAAACATATGCTTTAGTTAACTACTTCTGTAAAATACCAAAGTTTTATAGTTAGCAAATATTAGGAAATGGTAACATTAAAAAGGAGATATATGAGGTGATAAAGAAGACTGGTTCTTCATTTTAATACTGATGACAGGACACTTGATTCCCTCTCGAGAGCAATTCTCCTCAGTTCTTGCTTTAGAAATCAGTTTTCAACCTTAAACAAGGGTTGGAAAAATCCTTTAAAAGGGATAAAGTGACCACTGAAACAGCACCAACAAAAAAGCAGAAAAGGATTTGTCAGTTTTATTCATTTTCCCCCTCCTCCTTATTCTCCTTCAAAATCAAAACAAATCAGCTCATTGTTGGGCAAACAAAATTGACTTTTTCTTTACTGCTGAGGATTGAGGCTTCAGTTTCATAAGATTAAGAGTGAAATGAGTGCAGTGCATTTGATCAGCTCAGTAAAACAATATTCATCCTCTGGATATTGGATTTCTCCAAACATATCAATAATCAAACATTGGTAAGGTTAACTTTAGGTTCTTCTTAGAGCTGAAGAACTGAATTATGCATTCAGCCATTACACACAAAAAGACACAGTTATAATCTGAATTTAATGGAAATGGAACCAGGGGTTTTGAGATGATTTAGAAGGACATACCTCATATCCTGGTATGGACCTGACTGCCTCTACCACTGCCAAGGACACCAGGTGCTGGATAAAAGGAATTCTCTGGCCCAGGTTGGAATGCAGAGGGATGGAGAGGTGCAGGGTGGACAGGGCACAGCCCACGGGACTGAGCCAAACGTTTCCACCACGACCTGGGCAGGGAGAGAAAAAAGGGGAACTTCAACTCAAGAAAAGAACATTTATAAAAAAGATCACTTTGTGAATGTAGATAACAACTCAAAGAGAAAGATTCAAAGGTATCCATCCAAAAATGTACTAACAGTTCCTTTAACGGAGTTTCCAAACCAATTTTGAAAGAAAAAGGGTTAAACTGCAAAGCTTTTTCTTAAAAAAAAAAAAAAAAAGAGATATTTTAAAAATATTCCCATCTCTGTAAGTGTTCAAGGCCAGGCTGGATGGGGCTCTGAGAACCTGGTTTTGTGCAAGGTGTGGCAGGAGGTGGAACAAGATGATCTTTAAGGTCCCTTCCAACTCAGGCCATTGTGTAATTCTGTTATGAGATTCTGAAGTACAAGCTGCTACTCAATTTCCCAGCATGTGCTAAATCCCCTGCTTCCAGGCTTTTCCTGGTCTCTGCTAACAGACACATTTCAGAAGATCTTGCTTTGTTCAAGTGGAGAAGCATTTCTGAAAATGTACCCAAACCCTGAACCACCCTGCACTGAAAGCAGGGAATCATCTTCTCATGGATTTGAGCTCGGAAAAGCTTCTTGGGCCACACACTCTGCTCTTCCAGCAGAATAAATGTGGCTTTTAAAGAAGTGCCAGCATTTTTCAGGGCAGGAAACAGGACTTGCTTACATTTATCTGCTCAGGCAGGTCCTTCAGACTCAATCTCAGAGCAAGTCAAGCCCCAGTCCTGTTCCAGTGCACCCAGTTTCAGTTTTCATCTGGAGCTCTGACTTGTGTTACACTGAGTGCAGTGATGGCAGCTTTTGTGACTGGCAAAACTTTTTTGGCAGGAACCAGGAGACCACTAAATCATTTCTGCAAAAGCCACCAAACATCCTGAAAATGTTTACTTTGGTCTCTTATTAACTTTTGGGTTTTCAGTTTGAATCCACAGTTTGAGCGGGAGGAAAAAAGGACAGGCTTATTCAACGGATTATATTATCAAAAATGCTCATAATGCAGCTTAAAATGTTCTACTTTGTGTATTTAATACACATTTATGAGTAAAATAAGGAGATTTACTCACCTTTCCCTTGTGTTTGTCGAACAGCCACTGCTATTAAACCCATCTCCTCAGGCAACTCGAACATTAACCTGCCAATTAGGGAAAAAACCAAAAACCCCACATGCTTATCAGCTGCAACACTAAGCTACATTCATGAAAATCAAGGCTTAAATATCAGGTAATATTTTATGTTAACGTTGCACCACCATTTTTTCAGTTAACATTTAGTCCTGATCCAAACCCATTAGAATATTAAAAAATGATTGGCTGAAAAACGAGAATGTAAAATATTATTTTATCTTTTAGGCTGAAGTAAGTCAGAGCTATAGTTCATTTGAGTTCTGATAACACAGGTTTTGTATTTCTTCACTTCTTCCTCAAGTGCTCATTTTTTTGGTGTCCCTATCTTCAGCAAGTGACAACCAGCAATTCTAAACATTTGTTTCTACTTACAGCAAATTTTTGTTCATACTACAAAATATAAGAGCAGCAGTTTCTGATTATTTAGAAAACCAATATGGTGGCAATAAAGCAGTTTAAAAGATACACTATCCCCTGAGAACTAATTATGATTTAACTACAGTAAATAAATCTACACCTTCTGAGAGCTCTAGAGAACACTGGCTTATTTTAGGCTTGTGTTCTGCTTTTAAAATAGTTTCACTTAAAAGAATACTAACTTTCCTCTGGGGATAAGTAGAAAGTGCACTTTAACACCACCAAATGAGTCAATGCTACACTTAAAATATAAAAAAAAAAAGGAAAAAAATGAAAAGAAGAAAAAAACCCTACTGTGAGAACTTTGTTCAAGCCACTTTTAAACAGATCTGAACTGCACCATGATCCTCCTCCATTTCACGTTTTCAGGAAGAGTTACTTCAGAGATAAAACATATTCAAGATGTTGCCTCTGAGGTAAGCCCAAAAAGGGATGTCTAGCCACAAATCTGCTTCTCCCACAGGCACAAACACGATGTTGTTCATTCCTATAAAAGCAATCTTGTCTCAGGGATAAGGGCAGCCCAAATCAGAGCAAAAAGTTCCATTCACAATGATTTCCTGTGAGAAATGGATTTGTAAAGAATGTCTAAAGTTTGACAGAAAATTTATGTAGTGATGTATATTTTTATGTAAATACTGAGATAAGGTGTAAATAAGATTTAAAATATGGTTTTGTAGAATGATTAGATATTTTAGAGAATTAGAAATGTGAAAGATGTGCTGTAGTATTGTAGTATTATTGTAGTATTGTATTGTAGTAAGGCTATGTAAGGAAAAAATATAGATAATTGGTGTTAGAAGTAATAGTAGTATTGTGTGGTAAAATTAATAAGTTGAAAAACATTTATAAAGTAATTAAGAAACAGGTTGGTTTCTGATAGAAAGAGCTTTACATCTCTTGTGTGTCCCTATTCATGGGATGTCTAGCCACAAATCTGCTTCTCCCACAGGCACAAACACGATGTTGTTCATTCCTATAAAAGCAATCTTGTCTTGGGGGTAAGGGCAGCCCAAATCAGAGCAAAAAGTTCCATTCACAATGATTTCCTGTGAGAAATGGATTTGTAAAGAATGTCTAAAGTTTGACAGAAAATTTATGTAGTGATGTATATTTTTATGTAAATACTGAGATAAGGTGTAAATAAGATTTAAAATATGGTTTTGTAGAATGATTAGATATTTTAGAGAATTAGAAATGTGAAAGATGTGCTGTAGTATTGTAGTAGTATTGTAGTATTATTGTAGTAATGCTATGTAAGGAAAAAATATAGATAATTGGTGTTAGAAGTAATAGTAGTATTGTGTGGTAAAATTAATAAGTTGAAGAACATTTATAAAGTAATTAAGAAACAGGTTGGCTTCTGATAGAAAGAGCTTTACATCTCTTGTGTGTCCCTATTCATCGAGACTCAGAACAGAATAAAATCTTTTACAACACCTCTCAGTTGCCCTGTCTCTGCAAAAGCTGAGAAAACCAACAATTTCCCCTGAATTTCAGATGGGTTTGGGAGCAGTTTCAGGCTCTGCAATTGAGGAGGTGCAGGAGCAGCAAGGAGGAGCTGAGTGTCCCACAGACACACAATGTCTTGGTGCTGGGATGAGGAACCCTCCATTGCTCCTGCTCCACACGCTGGGAAATGGGACACCAGCAACTCCTGGGGCTGTGGCAGCACCAAAATGCAAGAAACCCAGAGGGTTCAGAGTATCTTTCAAATGCCTGACTCCATTTAGGTTGGATGTTAGGAAAATGTTTTTTATGGAAAGGGTGATAAAGTTCTGGAATGGCTGCCCGGGGAGGTGGTGCAGTCCCCATCCCTGGGGGTGTTTAACAAAGCCTGGATGTGGCACTGGGGGCCAGGGCTCAGCTGAGCTGCCAGGGCTGGGCTGGACTCCATGGTCTTTAAGGTATCTTCCAACCTGGTCATTCTGTGATTCTGAGATTCTGCTTTCATGATGATGAGGTTATTGGAAAGCCCAAGCAAAGTCTGGGTCACAAATGCCTTTGCTAATTACAAATCACAGAATCCTGGAATGGTTTGGGTTGGAAAGGACCTTAAAGATCATCCAGTTCCACCCCCTGCCATGAGTAGGAACACACAAACCAGCAGGAGCTGGACCAGGCCCCACGATGTTTTCCCACATTATTCCTGAGTCATGGAGGTGTCATCAAAGGCCAACAGCCAGAAAATCTCTTTGCCAATCACCTTCCACAAAACACTCCTTGGGAATTGTCTCCTCTGGACACTGTGGCTCACATGCTTAGACCAAGCCCACCCATCCACCACCTTTAGCAGCAAATTTTACCTCTTTACACTAAATCCCAGAATCATCAAGGCTGGAAGAGCCCTCCAGGATCAGCCAGTGCCACCAGCATCACCCCAAACCCTGTCCCCAAGGGCCACATCCAGACTCCTCTGGGACAATTCCAGCGACTCCAAACCTCCCTGGGCAGCTCAGCCCAAGGCCTGACCACTCTGCCAGGGAAATTTTCTTTCCCAGTCTCCAACCTGAGCCTGCCCTGGTGCCATTTGAGGCCATTTCCTCTCCTCCTTTCACTTTCACCAATCCTCCCTCACTGCCCCTCCTGCAATCAGCTTCTCCTGAGCCTCCTTTTCTCCAGGCTGAGCTCCCTCAGCTGCTCCTCCCAGGATGTGTTTTCCAGATCCTTCTCTTCCCTGGACACACTCCAGCCCCCCAGGGGGAAAATCCCCCAAAGCTCAGGAGGTTTCATCCCTGTCTTCTGGGAGCAGCCTGATTACAACACCAAATCCATGCTTTTGCAACATAAAAATCCAATTTAAACTTGGACACACAGTTAGGAGGAAATTACAGGCTTTGTTGAAACACACGGATTTCTGCTGCTTCTCCATTCATGTATCTGTTTTTAAATAATGAAAAAAAATAAAAATCATGGGCTGCCATGAGGGGAGGAAAATAAACAGAGCAGGAAAAAAGCTAATTAGGAATGCAAAACACAGGCTTCTGCCCCAAAGAGATACAATTAGGAGAACAGATGATGCAGCTCTTGGAGACTTGGCAGCAGGTAACAACTTATTACATGGAGAGACTGAGGCTGGACTTTCAAGGGTCACAAAGAAATTCTTTAAAGGACACAACATGGGGAAGTTGTTAATTCCCAGACTGATACACCAAGAGACACACGGATTGATTTTTTACAACTTCCTGAGATTGTGCTGGAATTAACATGAAGGCAATGACAATAAAATTCTGCACAGAGCCTCCTGCCTGCCTTCCCCCAGCTTCAGAGCTCTGTACATGGTGTGTGCTTGTTAGTTTGGTGGGGTTTGTTTCTTCTCTGGGAGAAACAACTTGGATTTTCCTTACCAGAAAGATTAACTGTACGTGCACTTTTTTACATATTGACTTCCCTTCTTCTCTTTCAACTTAATCAGTTGCAGACTTAACAATTTTGTTTTTCTGCAGAGTGGCTTAATCACAGTGCTCACCACATTCTCTCCCACCCCCCCCAATTTTTTTCCTTCAAGAAATTTTTTTTTCTTTCTTTTTCGTGCTCTATGCCCTGGGTATTAATTCCAAAAACCAGAATGAGATATAAAATTATGGCGACATTAAAATAAATTTACCCATCAGGAAGAATATCAGATGACATCTATATGATCATAGAAGATGATACTGGAATTTTATGTAAACTTTTCTCTTTTTTGAACATTTTTGTGGTATTTTCCAAAATGTGAGCAAGGCACTTTTGGCATTCAAGAATATTAAAGCAGCTGAAATAGTAAGAGAGAGGTTGTAGCACAGTTTTTTATACAAATGCCCTCCTCCCCACCCTGCAGTACATAATAAACAATATTTAATTATTTTACAGAAACTCCAAGTGTAAGGAGGACTCTGGCCTGCCACCACAACAACTTTTCATCCTACACGAATATAAAATGGGAACTGAAACCCCCAAAACCACGTTTGACTAATGTTAACAACCATAAATTTCATTGATGTTGTGGGTTTAAGGTTGAAACTCTCATTAAAGCATCCTGCTGTGTTACAGTATTGCAGAGACATTACCACAGCCAGCAGTGCATTCCAGATGTTCAAATACCTGGGCACAAGAGTTGTGGGCAGATTTGTCCCTTCCCTTCGAGTTCCTTGCCTGAAAATCTCACTCTCGAGGAGGTTACTTAGAGAGTATTGTAAAAGCAACACAGAAAACCAACCAACCAACCTACCAAAAACCAACCAACCAACCAAAAAAACCCAACCAAAAACCCCAAACCTTTTCAATTTTAGTCAAATCAATGAATTCCAGAATTATTTAGGTTGGAGGGCAACAGTTAGAGGAGAAGACACCATGAGTGAGAGGAGGTTTGGATTAGATATTGGGAAAAAATTCTTCTCTGTGAGGGTGGAGAGGCCCTGGAAAGAATTCCCAGAGCAGCTGTGGCTGCCCCTGAATCCCTGAAGTGCCCAAGGCCAGGTTGGAGCAGCCTGGGACAGTGGAAGGTGTCCCTACCCATGGCAGGGGGTGAAACTGGACAATCTTTGATGTCCCTTCCAACCCAAACCATTCCATGATTCTATCAAATATAAAAGAAATGTTGTTATTGCCC